CTTGGGGAAGAGGAGGGGGGAGACAGTTGTTTCATTGTACTACTATGTCTTCAAAAGTAATGTTTCTTTTCTGGTGTAATATATTGCTTCTAGGTGTAGACCACGCATTTGTCATAAGAATTTGCCATTTGTGAAGCCCATAGAAATGTTTGTTTCTGCTAATTTATTTGAAACATTTACTTCTGAGTTTACTACTTACGTTACTTTGTATACATTTTAAGGCTCTTATTGATTTCTACATAATAATCCCTTATTCCAGACTATTGACTCTCCATAATACATTATTTCCAAAGAGGCAGCTGTGTGGTCTGTTGCAATGAAAATATTGGAATCCTTTGGCACATTAGTGCTAGCTGTATAGCTCAGTGAGTTAGGTATCTGGCTTTGCAGCCAGAGTTGGAGAGTTCAATTCCCTACTCTGCTTCCTGCAGCTACATCTGAGCCAGAGTTGGAGAGTTCAATTCCCCACTCTGCTTCCTGCAGCTACGTCCAGCCTATGTAGCCTTGGGTAAACTGTGCAGTCCCAGGGCACCCCCAAAAGAAGGGAGTGGTAAATCACTTCTTATTATTCTCTACCTGAAAAACCTTGAAAAGGATGGCCAAAAGTCAGCACTGATTTGATGGCAACATGATGATGATATTGGCACATTAAAGTATCACTGGGCATGCCCTAGTAAATTAGAGACGGCTTTGATATGAAGTCCCTCCAAAAATATCTACAGCTTCTCTCTTTAAATAGGATTTTATTGACTATGTCTGAAGGAAGACATATATTTCCATTGTTTCACTTTACCAATATTTTAGTACCATATTGCTGAGGAGTTGGCGACTCATCAATCCATGAAGGCATTCTGCATGAACTAAACTCATGGAAATCAAGGATCTGGCTTGAATGAAGAGCCTTGATGGTTCACATTCTGAGGAAAGCAATGACAGAAAGGAAAGCTTACTCTCCTTAAGAGCTCTGGACAACTGAACAGAGCTACTATTTCCAGATGGGTAGGAGTGGAATTCAGAGATTACACTATTGTCTAGGAAAGAGCACCAAGTGGATGATGATGTGCCATCAAGTTATTCTACTTTATTTGTTTTATTTTATGATTTTATTGTAGTTCCTCTTTATGGTCTGTTTGATTGATTATGTATGTTGTTAACAGCCCAGAATAGGGTTTTGCACTAATGGGTGGTATATAAATTAAATGAATGAATAGATCAATTCTGACCTATGGCAATCCTTACCAGAATACTCAGAACTCACTGAGCTATACAGCTAGCACTAATGTGCCAAAGGATTCCAATATTCTTTTTTTCTAGAGGTGTCCTGGGACTGTAAAACTTGCCCAAAGCCAGCCAGGCAGGCTCTTCATGAATGCACAGTAAGGAAATGAACTCCCAGCCCCCTGGCTCCACAACCAGATACCTCACTGAAATATCCAGCCAATTACCAAGTGGATGCGAGAGTTAAAATATGAAAATACCTGGTGGGAAGACATCTAATAAGGGAAGTAGTCGGAAACAAAATAAAGTGTGCATTAGCAGTGTAACAGAAGGGAAAGAGCTTGGAAAAGTTACTTTTTAGATGATAATTTCAGGCTATGATAGTTGGGGGTTTCTGAGATCTGTGGTCAAGGAAAGTTACCAAGATGGGCTTAGAACAGTGACATGCCCATATATTTCACCTTTGTTTTTGCACACCCAAATTACTCAGGAGGGAAGCTTAAATTATTTACAATCAATTATTGAATCCATAGATATCGGTTGTAAAGATTTTAATTTTCCAGATTCTCTCCCTGTCTGTAGTATTCATGAGAAAAATTATGCCAAACCCTGTTAAGGAATCTGGCAGCTGAAAAGCTGATTAGAAGTTAACTATCTAATCTAACCATAGAGTTAGTCATTAACCACCCCATATGCTTACAATGTATGCCACAGAAAATATTCTGAGAATATGTGGGTTCATAGTCAATGTGTTTATTACCACAAATGACCCACGTAAGTAAACATTAAGTACTTTATTATCCCTTCATGTTACTCTTGATGTCTGCTTTGCTTTATCACACTTGATGCAGCAGTCCTAGGAAATCTTCAGTAGAAATCAGTTTTTCTGACATTGGTGGGGCAAACTGGGATAGATTCAAGTACCTGAACTGGCACTTTGAGAAGATCTGAACAGAGTATGGCTGTAATCAGAGATGGACTACAGTTTCAAGAATCTTACAGCCAAGCTGTAACGTGGTGGCGCTGTGGGCTAAACCGCAGAAGCCTGTGCTGCAGGGTCAGAAGACCAGCAGTCGTAAGATCGAATCCAAGCGATGGAGTGAGCTCCCATCGCTTGTCCCTGCTCCCGCCAACCTAGCGGTTCGAAATCATGCAAAATGCAAGTAGATAAATAGGGACCACCTCGGTGGGAAGGTAACAGCGTTCCGTGTCTAAGTCGCACTGGCCATGTGACCATGGAAGATTGTCTTCGGACAAAACGCTGGCTCTATGGCTTGAAGAGCGGGCTGAGCGCCGCCCCCTAGAGTCGGACCCGACTGGACAAAAATTGTCAAGGGGAACCTTTACCTTTACCTTACAGCCAAGCTGGCCAATCCTACACAGCTGACACAGTAAACTTTCAGTTTCTCTTTACTTCTCAGTCCATCTCCTCAAGCAGAAGTTCAAGCAAATATAACCAAATCTGTGCATACATTTTACCTGTCAGCTACCTTGCTTGCCTCCTTTCTTTTGAAATATTGATGGTGAGCTCATGCTGTTCTTTCTTTGAAGCCACATTGTGTAAATTGATGGTAGAATAGTGATAGCATAGATACACAAGTGCCGTGATCTCCCTTTAATTAACAACAGTTAAAGTGATGAAGACAGGAAGCTGCCTTAGACCATGTTAGATTATTTGTTGCTCAAAGTCAGTCTACTTTGATTAGTAACACTTCTCTAGAAATGGCTGAAGAATTCTTTCCCACCAGGTACATGCCTGATGGCGTTGGTGCCAAATTATATAATGACAGTGTATGAGAGCTAGAGTGGTATTGCAAATCTAGTGTTGGAGATCAGGGTTCACATCCTCCACACTTGGTCGTGGAAACTCACCAGTAATGCCAATGGTAAGTCATTCTAACATCAGAGATACAGCTCAAATTCTGTTAAAGTTGCTGTAAGTCAGAAGTGATTTGATGTCACACAACAACAGTAACAGTAACAGTGTAAATATACCATCAGCATGAAGTCAGTATTAAGCAGGAAGATGATGCCATTAACTGTGGTACCTCACAGCCTTCCCTAAGGAAGCCAGCCTAGCCACTATCTTTCTAGAAACAAAGAAAACCCTTTCAAAGGATCAGTTTCCTATTGTTATAATATCGTAATATTACCTCATTATTTGAGCTTTGATTGAACTTTATTTGGGAAACCACCATGGAATCTTTGTGAAGAAAGGCAGAATATAAAGATCTGAAATAAATAAGTAATTTTCTAGAGACAATCCTGTGAATTTCTCTTGCTAATAATATCTAATGTAACAATGTAATAAAGAAAAATATATGTCAGTTTCTGGACTGGAACTGATGCCGAGGTGTTCACTGAAGAAAATATTGACAAAAATATCAACAAAATATTTATTTACTAATTTTCTGAGCAAAATCATCTTCCCTGGAAATTTATGAAACTTTATTTGTTTACTATTTGGGGAAGGATTGCTTTCAATCTGCTTTTGCCTATTTTTGCTAAGACAGGAAGAAAAGCTGTTTGGATCCCTGCAGTAATGTTAACTGTTTCCAGTCTTTGCTTGTCTAAAGGTAAAGGTAAAGGTTCCCCTTGACATTTTTAGTCCAGTCATGTCCGGCTCTAGGGGGCGGTGCTCATCCCGTTTTTCAAGCCATAGAGCCAGCGCTTGTCTGAAGACAGTTTCAGTTGTCATGTGGCCAGTGTGACTAGGGAATGCCGTTTTTACCTTCCCACCAAGGTGGTACCTATTTATCTACTCGCATTTACATGCTTTCAAACTGCTAGGCTGGCAACGAGCTGGGACAAAGTGACGGGAGCTCACTCCGTCACGTGGATTCGATCTTACGACTGCTGGTCTTCCGAACCTGCAGCACAGGCTTCTGCGATTTAGCCCACAGCGCCACCACGTCCCTTTTTTGCTTGTCTAATACCTGCTTTTTTTTTAAAAGGGGGGGAAATAATAGAAGTCCCATACCTCCCCAAGGAGCATTCCTCACAGCTGGCAAGCATTGATGGGTGCTGAGATCCATCAACATTTCCAGAGCCTTTCCCAGCTCAGTAACTCAGTTGAAGAACAATGCTCATTCTGGACCTTTCTCTTGTTAATTTTTACAACATGCTGTAGGCTGAACCATATACATTCTTCTTGGTTGCAGTACTATTAAGGAGAAGGATGAGAACAAGTGTAGTGTAGTTTCTCTACTGCCTTATCTCCTGAAAACATTGAGGCCTTATTTACACATTATCTTTCTGGTGTGATTGCTGCTCCTTCGTCTATGTATAAAATATGCAGATGATTTTCTGAAGTGACTCGCCGGTGTTTGTGGAGAGTGAACATCATTTTCCTGTTTCTGTATTATAAATTTTTAAGTGAGAGTAGAATGGTAGCAACAACTAAACAAGGCACCAGGTCAATGATTCAACAATTGTTTCTAAGAAAAGCATGTAGTGATCCAGAATAATATCCTATTCAGTTAGAGATGATTTGAGCATGTCTGTTCATTCATTGTCCTTAAAAAGTAGCTCTTCCCCAAAGTAAGGTCTGATTGACTTGGTCTCCCTTGTGGTTGTTGGGAAGCCATTCCAGAACAGTTCTTAGTACAAAAAGAACCACTCTTGGCTAATGACTGACATAGTCCCCAACAATGAAACCCCTGTATAATAAGAACCATGGTTGTTTCACCATTCTTGACTTTAAGAGACCCGTGACTTTTTTTAAAAAATCTTGTATTTTATCATTTATTGTCCCCCCCCCAAAAAAAAAACCCAACCCAAAGTAGATCATAGGAAGCATGGAAGAGACAACCCCTGTTTGACAATGTTATAGTTGGAAATGACAAGGAAGTTGGGGGAAAATTTACTCTTTGGACTGCAGCTCCCAGAATCCTCCTGCTAGTATAGCCATGGTGATGCAGGTTGGGAATTGTGGTCCAGAAATAACTTTTCCAAACCCTGAGGCACAGGATATATTATGGGTATAAACATTAGAGAAGCACATCTGTACAAGTCTGCTTCTGCCCATGTTTTCACCACTTTATTTTCCAAGAATGCTGGCCAGAATCCTAGTGGTTAGTTACACCTGGTATAAGTGCAATGGCACAAACTGAAGCAGTGGATTGTCACTATTTTACAACTTATCAGTTGTATCCCATGTCTCACACCTGTCACCCGAGTTGTTGCATGACAAAAGACAAAAGGGGCAACTCATGAATGAGTGGCAATTCACCACTGTGATTTATGCAATTGCACTTACACCAGGATAGCTTACAAATAAGAGTCTGGCCATTGATATGTTCACAACCTGCCACTGAGTCTTCTGAGTGACTTTACTTGCAATTTTGAAGACCTCATCCTTCTTGTACCTGTTGGCCCTTTAGATGCTATCCCACCAGTGACAGTAAGTGCTACACCAAATAAACCCATATCTATTGCAACAGTGCTAAATCAGGAGGCAGGATTCCCTCCCTTTTTCTTGAAGAGCTTCAAATCTCAATAAAACCAGTTTGGACAGAGAGTATATTGGGAAACTGAAAAATTATCTTATGTGCAAAGTAAAATAATACCAATGGAGGCCCTGAAAAGCTGCTGGTCTGTGTCCTATTGACTTTCTGTTGGAGAGTCCTGCCAGTGCAGTAAAATGAATGCTATCGAACAAGCAAAGGCCAGGGTTGTTTATGGAGATTCCCAACAAAACGTAAGAGTCACAACCATTCATTCCAATGCTTGCAGCACTTGGCACTCCTTGGAAGATCAACAGGATGTTCTCCAATAGCTTTTCAGAGACACAGGGGCCCAGTGCCACTGCCCAAATTAACTTTTCAGTCTTCCGTCCAATAGGATCCTGGCTATTGTCTCTAAATAGAGGTCAGAGGCATCCTGTCCTGTCCCCAATCAATTTCCAAAATCTTCTGTTCTCACAAGCCTCAGGGGAGCAAATGGAATCCTCTGGCAGCTGCACTTCACTGAACTGGCTGGCTGGGGAGCATTCTGGAATAGACCAATTCACACTTCCCCCTCCCCCAGGAAATGAATAGAGAAGATGCAGGGTAACTGGATCATAATTGATAACAAGGCACAGGCTGCAACATAACCTTTGGTCTTGAGCCTCTGGTACATTCAGAAAGCACCTAGAGTTCTCTCTTTGATCATTCCATGAAGGACGTTTTGAGGAAAATTGCAGCTAGGGTGTGTATATATATCAGCATGCTTATTGCAGAAACTGCCCAAATAGGAAAGAGGCAAAGTACATTTCTTCTCTTGTTTGATAAGAATCAGCATTAACAGCTAAATAAGTCAAGGGCAGAGTCTCATGGAAGAGCTGAGAGAAACAAGAACACTTCATAAGGGTGTGAACCGTTCATCATCGGCTGCTGCATAGACCCCATTAATCTGGCCAGCTTTTAAATCTAAGGCGTCACAAGGGATTCCATTTTCCACAGTTATAACAGTTTCACATTTCTCCTCTAATCCTTCTGTTTCTTCAGATTCCTTCTTACATCTGAAAAAAGGAGAGGATAACGTCGTAAAAACGGATGAGCCGAGAAAAAGGAAACAAATCATTTTGATCTGAGTCATCTACGTTTGGAGACAAAATGCATATGCAGAAATGTTGTACATTGCAGCCTTTTCTAGACTGGGAGAACACATGCTGCAAGCTTGTGTGTGTATTTGTGCGCACTTCACACATGTCTAAAAGTGGCAAAAGTAAAGGATTCGCAACATTAATTACAGGCTGTCTTCAACTTTTGTTTCTAGCCTAAAATCATCTAGTTCAGGAAAAGAGGTACCAATCCAATAGTTCTGCATGTGTGGATTAGCTCAAATATCTAGAAGGAGCAGATGGAAGCTTTGTGTAATGCATTTTAAAAAGAGTAAGAAGTGATTGAATGGAGCAAAATTTCAGCCCAGCTTTATAACTAATAAAGCACAAACCTTGTTATGTTTTCCGCTAGTGTGATAAACAGAACTCCCTACCACCTCCAGATTAGCTCTGACTGTATCTCTGCACTGCAGCCCAATATAGCAAAGAACAGCACTAGCAATTAAGGAGTCTCTGCTCTGTTTATTCCCAGGATGATTTTTGCCCTTGAAAGCCAATGAGTCATAGGCAAGGAGCCTCTAGCGTCATATATGATGCAGCATCAGCAATATAGGGGAAATAACCAGCTCAAAGATCAGGTACAGCATCTTCTCAGACCCATAATATATCGTGTCACAACCTCTGTCAGGTACATATATCAGCAATGTTAACAGCCATAAAAACGCATCATTCTGCTATAAATCTTTGGATGTAGAGATTTGCTAAAAAAATAAGTGTGAGAGGGAGCTTCTTCTTGACTCCAGATAAGGATGTAAATTTCGACTTGGTTCATCCTTGTGAAGTGAATAAGAATACAAAAAAAAATCTCCTTAATGCAAGAGAGTGGAAATAAATTTTTGCTGGTCTCTGAGAAGATGTGCATATTTTCAAGAGTGGATTGTGCACATTTGTGTTAAATGCACAGTGGCGCAACATGCAGTCCCAACTGCCATGTTGCTTAAGCCTGTAAATGTAGTAGCACTCGGTGGGTTGTATCTTTGGGCTGTCAGTTTCGGCATGTTATGTGTATGGATACTCATCTTCATATAGGGAAAATACGCTAATTTTGCAGAAGGAAAAGACTCTGAGAAAGCTATCAGTTACAAGTTAAATCACTGTTTAGCATCTCTCTCTGTAGCCAAGTTCTTTTGTGAGTGCTGGAGATTCCAATGTGTCAGTAAAAGGCCAAAGTGTAGCATGTGATTAGACTCCTTAAATGCCTGAAACATCTGATTGCCACAGCAGGAGCCATTCATACCTCTTGTAGTTTACACTGACCCTGCTTTGATTGCTCTATTGGCCATCAGGAGAGAAGCACAAGCATCATTTTAAAATTTGACTTCCCAATAACAAAGGTGTGCCAAAATAATTCTCTAGATTTCCAGTTTCTGATGCTAGACTATCTTTAATTTATAGTTGAGTTCAAGAAGCCCCTATTCTCCTGGCATGACAGGAAATTAATATATATGCCAATTTCTTAGCAGGAAAATGTAAGGCTTTCTCTGTGATGCACCATCCCTTCCTGCTAGTATTACTATTGCAATGTTCTTAAGTCAAGACCCCACTGTATTACTACTGCAATTACAATGACTATTATTATTGTCATTGTTAGTGTTAGTGCTACAATAATCATAAAACATTTTTAAAAACCCAAATTTAACCACAGGATCATTAAAATAAAACAAAACCAAATACAACTATAAAATTAATTAAAATCAGTTAAACATTCATACAATTGAAACCATCAGTATAAATTAAACAATATTATAAGCCGATTTACACCATTCCTAAGAGCAGAGAGAGAGAAACTGATTACAATTGACATACCCAAACTAGGACGACCCACGCTGTGAACATTCTGCCATATCTACAAATACAGATCCATACATGACCTTACTTCCTTACTTTACTAACTTGTTAAGAGGATCCTTCTCCTTTGCTACCACAACAATTTAAAAACAAAGAGAATGTTTGTAGTAAATAATGTAATGCAAATGTAGCAAATGTCAGGGAATAATTTTAGAAATCAAAAATTAGGTACCCTGTAGGCATGCCACATCGAAACCACTTCTACTTGGAATCTGTATACGGTCACCAATCAGCTGCCAGAACAAGTGCCAACCAGATCTTCCAGGCCACTAAGTTCCCTGGCTTATAATTCTGGACTGGCACAAAACAGGAAAGCACAAAGCACTCACCTCCTACGCTGATGGATGCCAGAAGTTACAAGGAATACAATTCCAGCCACAATGATGGAAATAACGACACCAAAGACTATCAGCCAGGTTTGGACAGACTGCTCAACTGGTGGAGCTAAAGTTGTTGAGATCTGCAAGAACTGAAGTGTGTCATCACTTAAAAAAAAGGCACCATTGATACGGTGTCTGTTCTTCCTAAAAACAAGACAAAACAAAGAAAGAATTGACAGGTATGCCATCTTATTCATAATATGAAAGGGTCTATTGTGCCAATCACATAGGATGAATGAAGACATGATCTGGTGTCACTTGTGCATGGAATGTTTCATTTTCACTTCAGATGATGGTCCAGAATATGGTTGCATACACAGCACTGTACTCTCTTTTCAAAAGGAAAAATAATAAGGATTTTCTCTCCCATCTTTTCCTCCTTAGCCAATTTTCAAACAATAATGAATAAATTGGTGGAAAACAAGGGATAATTTTGAATCAAATTTGACATTGTCTGAATTCTCTGCAAAAAATAACTGAACGAGGTAGGGCAATTGCATGACAAATTCTCCTGAGATGGCTGTTAGGAAGAATGCATATGGAATTCAGGGCTGCAGCATCCTATTTACAGACCCTAGATAAGATATTCAACATCCAACCCTCCTTTCTCCAACGCAACACACTTTCATGGAAAATTAACCTACCAATGGAGTACTGTATTAGCCGCCTGCATTTCCACAGCCATTCCTTCAATATTATTCCACAGGTGCAATCTGTAGCTTAAAGGTTAGTTCCATGGGTATCTATTTTGTCATATATTGAAGGGTAAAATAAAAAAAAAGGCTGAAAGTGTTTTACATGTCAAAATGATATGGAAATGTGTAAGGGATGACAGTTTCACTTACTTTGATATAGCTAGCATGACCTTCCAGCCAACGTTAAGGTCAAAATCCAAAGATGTATCCCCCTTTTCCCCTTCCACTCCCACTATAGCCATACATGGCATAAAACCAAACAAACAAAACCCAACTCCAGAGGTTTTCTCAGCTCTTTGGAGCAGTTTTTTAGGCTGGTGAGCTGCAGGAGGGAAGGAAGGAGACAGAACTTGATATGTGTCCTTCAGAAGCAGTAGGACCCAATGGAAGTACAGTATTGGATTCTGGCCTAAGATGATTGTACCCCGAAACTGCATTTGTTTTTATGATCTTGATTATGGGTGCTGCTGATCTGTGTGTGGTAGGAAGGCTCTAAGGTGCAGGATGGCTATTATTCTCTTAGGGCCTGCAGATTCTGTATATAGAAGTCGTATGCCCTCATGTGTCAAAAATATGTAATTGAGGATACAAAAAGATGTATTAAAAGCAGAAACGTAATTGCCATCAGAATGATCACTGGAATGTAAATAGCTTCACTTATGTGTCTAATTGCAGAGACATACACAACAAAGGATATCACATTGTTGGGGAGAAAATGTTGTAAGATCAGGAAATACAAGGTCAGTCTCATGCCCAGAGAGGCTCTTCTGCAGGAATTGGGCTTGGAGAAAATGGATGGGAGGCTTCCAGATTTCATTACATTCCTCATACGTATTTCCACATCATTCAAGCAATGGTCACTATTTCTATTAGTTTTTATCTGGTCTTAGCAATCAGGGCTTAGAGCAGAGCAACAGCTGTTTCAAATCATATCATGTCTGCAGGTGACAAATGATACATTAAATCTAAGAAAAACATGCTACCCTTGTAGAAAGAGACTTCTTCTTAGATCTGCTTATACAGACAGGATGTTTCAAAGAACATGCAAAGCACATTCCACTATTCTGACCCTGGTTCAACAAATCCATAATCTCTTTGCCCCATGCTAAGGTACCAAGGTGGGTTTTGCATTTCTCCACAGAAAACAATTTAATCTGCTCATAAGCTTAAAAGTTAATCTTCCCAAAGAATGCATTCATATTCATTGCCACATTCACTTTTATTCAATACGAGGCATTATACTTCTAAAACATGCTTTTCCAAAAAGGACTAAATTTAAGAGCAAGTCAACAACATACAGCCAAATACAGCTATTTTCTTCTTCAGGAAGAAAACCTTCATGATTAATGTATTCACAGATCCTACCGTTACAAATTCCTTGTGCACAGTTGACCATGTAAGCTGCAAAATGGATTATTTATTTCCAAATGTGTTTTTTCCCCAGTTTAGAAATGTGATTTTTAAAATGATAATAATGAGGAAATGGGGAGGAAAATATCTGTTTTGTACAAGCAGATAGCAATTTTAATTGTTTCTCTCGTAATATTAATTATGTGTCATCAAGTCAATCTTGACTTATGGAAACCATTTCAGAACTGGCTTGATGGCATGTAATTACTATTATGAAAAGCATTAAAAAGGCGAATGATGTTTCTGCTTCTTGTGCTCAGCATGTCCATGATAAAACATTAGCATACCCAGATGTAGAATCAGGCAAGTCATGTTGAAATCCTTGTTTGTCTTGAGGAGGTTACTTTCTTGCAAGGTAACCTACCATGCAGGCTTACCCAGAGACCCTCAATGCCACTCAGAGCAGTTTTGGCTAAAGGAGATATTTAACTGCTAACATAGGGGTGGATTGGCTGCCCACTCTAGTACCTTATGGCTGCTTCCACATCGCTCTTGGGAACAGTTGCTGTGTTTGTGGATGAATTACTGACAACGAACCAAAACGATACCCGCTGTGTTACATTGCATAGCAGTACATTGGAGACTCTGTGATGGGTTAAAACCAAAAAACATTGTTAGTAATGACCAGAGCAGGACACGTGAGAATGAGATAATCAAAGGAGGCTCCATGCCTCCTGGATTATGGACAGTAAGATCTTAAATGGAAACCCCTTTAGGGCAGGAGAAAAAAGGAGAGAGAGAAATTAGGGCATATTACAATATTCTGTAGAAGCTGATTCATCTCATTTTGATTTCATTGAATTTGAATTTAATACAGATGTTGTGTCTTGCTGCAATTTTTGCAAATTTATTAGATTCCTCTATTTTATGATAACTTTTTAAGGTCGCAGCCGGGGAATCCGCCAAAGGATTAATACATATGTTGTGTCTTGCTGCAATTTTTGCAAATTTATAAGATTCCTCTATTCTATGATAGCTTTTCTGTAATATGTTTACAAGGTTTTGTAGTTTACTATATATTTTTTCTCACATACACACTCTTACATGCGTAGAAATACCTGTCACATGCAAATCTGTGAACATTCATCATTGTAACCTTTTGTAGAAAATATTATCTCCCTTCAAATTTACTCCCTCATGAGTTACCATGCAAAAATATTTTTGCTGTTTTATCTCCTTCAAGCAACCAGGTCAAGACACGGGAAAGAAAGGAATGGACAGCAGAGGTTTGCTCACTAGGCATGAGAACATAAACAGTTCTGGAATCTGCAGTCAAAATGACCAGCAAATATAGAATTAGTGGCTCTTCAGAACTTGCTTCTTTCACAACATGAACCCTGATAGAAGGCAATCGCCTCACAGGGTACTAGAGTAGCAGCTTAATCTCATCTGTTCCATGGTGACATCTTCTGGCTGGTTAACAGTAATCAGAAACATGCTTCAATTATTATTTGGTTTTGTCTATGTGTGTGTTTTTAAACCATGGATTCTATTACAGATAATACAGCATTTTATTGTATTCTCCTGAGGGCTATTATTGATCAATACCCCTCACAAAAATACAATGAAAAGCTATATTTTAGTTAATTCATTATCCCTTTTAACCAATTAATGAATGGATTAAAATGGATCTTTGCTATGTACACAGCCTTTCATCTAATTATATCCAGCCAAAACTTGGTGATGCTGCTCATTTCATCGACAGATTTAGAGTGGGGCACACTCTTCCAAAGTTCAAAGAGCAATTAAACCATTGTTAGTATATGTTGCAGATACTGGCAAAACAAGTGCTGGGTACACATGTTGAACCCTTTAGAATTTTTTTTTTCTAAAAATGTACAATTTTGCTGAAAATCCTTCCATAAATGTCGTACAGAGATGAAATGTGCTTCACAATACCATCTCACCCCAAAGTCAGGATTAATTATCCATCATATATAAAATATGTGTGAGTTTCTAGTGAAGAAATCTGTTACATTCTTTGGGTGACAATCCTATGCACAATTATTTGAGAATAAAGTCTGACTGAAGTTTTAGGTAGACATTCACAATATGTGATTATTAGACAACTATATAGCTCCACATTTCTTCCCATCCTTACTTTCTGTCAAGATGTTAGACTTTGTTTTTTTCTTTCTGTACTGAAACATATTGACATTTTTGCTATTTCCGCACTCTTTGGTCTTGTTCACACATATTGGCTAAATTATGTACTACTTCCATTGACTAAAGCTTGTGTGTGTGCTATATTTGTGTGCAATTTTTTTATTTCTCTACAATGTCCTGTAAGCTATCAAACAAGCGAATTCTCAAAACACTCCAGGGTAGCAGAAAGTGGCACCAGAAGGAGCTGCAACGCAGGCTCTAATTAGTCCATTCCAAGTGATCATACTTGCTGGGAATGGACTTTACTCAAGCCTTTCAACCTGTACCAAAATAGTTAGAACCCCCTGAACCCCTTCAAAAAGGTTTGGGACAGCTATTGAAGGGGAAGGACGAATCGAACTACTGTGTTTTCCCGAAAAATAAGATAGGGTCTTATATTAATTTTTGCTCCAAAAAAAGCAGTAGGGCTTATTTTCGGGGGATGTTTTATTTTTTTTCATGTAGAACAATCATGTCATCTTCAGCATGCTGCACAGTGGTGGAGGGCGGGCTTTCACTTAACTAGGGCTTTTTTTTGGGGGGGTAGAACTTATATTACAAGCATCCTGAAAATTCATACTAGGGCTTATTTTTAGGTTAGGTCTTATTTTCAGGGAAACAGGGTAAAGAGAAGCACATTGTATCCAAATTGTATCCACAACAATCCATATATTGATCTATATGCCACCACAGACAGCTCCTAAGTTTCAGTTTATACATAACTATGAAACGGCTAAATTAAATGATTGAATTTCCCCTCTATTCTAAGCCATCCCATAATGTACCAAACCCAGAACAAACAAACAAACAAAATGCCACTGTTGTAAATGTTTGCCAATCTCTTTCCAAGAGTGTCAAGTGTTTTCTTAGATTCAAAACTGGCTTAGGCTAATTTTGCTCAATGGCAAATGAGTCTCAAGCCTTTTCTAAATGACACTCTTCAGGGTCAAACTAAGCATTGCATTAATTACTTGGCATTTTTGATCAATTTTCTTCTTCTAAACATTTTATCCTAAGCACACAATATCCAATTTTCTTTAGTACTAAGTGGACTAAAAGGAGGTTTGGTCACATTTTTTTTTTTTTAAAAAAAAGCAGATTTCCCACCTGCACAACCGGCCTTTCAGACCTCCAACTCCCAGATTTCCCACCTGCACAACCGCCCTTTCAGACCTCCAACTCCCAAAAGCCAAACATCAAACGTCAGACTGAGTGATTACTTTTTTAGTATGCAGCTAGGATGTTAGCAAGTCTTTGGTGCCAACCCCTGAGTCCCTATTAAAAACAAGGTTTCTTCCCAAGAAAAAGAGGGGTGGGGGGTGGGATGTGAGTAGTGAGTTGAATTTAAGTCATTAAAACAAATCTCAAGTCAAGTCCAAGCTGAGTCATTGGTGCGACTTAAGTCCGATTTGACAGCAAGTCCCGTGACTCGAGTCACCATCCCTGGTATGCAGTAAATAGGACCTGAAGGTGAAGAAGAGGTAGTTCCAGCCCAAAAGAAGTTGTTTTAATATAGGGTGGGGGGGCAGTTTGGTTTAATTATGGTTACAAAGCACTTCCTGACTCTTATCAAAATTGTGTTATACAGCACTGCCTTCATTTAAGTTTTTAATAAACAGATAGGCATAACTTGTCTAATTTACTTTCTGTTACATCTGTTAGTTTCCAACTGCACAATTTATCCCAGTTAGTGAGAAAACTGCACACAACAAGAAGGTCTCAGGTCTCGCCAATCCCTCTCCAGTCACACTCCTGACCAACGTTAGCCCCTTGACATACAGATGAACTGCTGTTGGCACTTGGGGGGAAACCGTTGTTTGGAGAGATTCTTTCCAAGAAAATCATGACTAGGATGGGAAAACCGAAACCTCCTAATGTGCTATGGTCTTACGATTATAGAATGGGTCCCCTATGAGGGAAAAGGCAGCAAATAAAAAAGCAAGCAAGCAAGCAAGCAAGCAAACTTATTTATTTATTTATTTATTTATTTATTTATTTATTTAGCTAGCTAGCTAGCTAGCTTATACTGTAATTGAATAAGCCATATTTGACTACAGATTTTCCAAAGGGTGGAAAATTAAAGTAAGAGTGTGTGTGTGTGTGTGTGTGTGTGTGTGTGTGTGTGTGTTTAAATTTTGGAGCTATTCTACATACATTGACTGAAATGAGGCAATTAATTGACAATGCATTAAAATCGTCCAGAACAGGTGCAGTTTCATGGCTCAGTGGTGGCAGGATTTTACATGCAAGACAGTCCTTGTTCAAACACTGGCAGCAGAGCTGAAAAAGAACTCTGTGTGATAGCTTTCAAGATCCTGCTGGTTGGAATAGGTTATACTCGACAAGATGGACAGTCACTGTCAGTTCTAAGCTAGATGAGCCAACAGGTTAATATGGTACAGGATAGCTTTCAAGTCATCAACTAATGGCTATATTGAACTTTTACTAACAAAATGAAAGTGCAAAATGGCTATATACCTTCTATTAACAAAAATGTTACTACTTTAATGAAATCTTAAAAACTGGCAGAGAGACAAAATACTAAGGGGCTCATTAGGTAAGATGCTGATTCTGTTTCTGGAAGCAGTATAGCCTTAAGAGAGAGAAAAATAGCCTCCTGTAATATAAATGTCAGTCCACATTTGGAAAATTAGCGTGTTTTGTTTTCCAATTGGTTTGTTTTATAGTAGCTCAATTAGTCAAACAAAGCATGTCTGAGGCATATGCCACTGAAAGATGTGTGTGCACGTATAAGAGGAAGAAAGAGGCTGCCTGAATATGTGATCTGTAAAATATTTCCACCCCTCCAGAATGGGTTTAATCCACCTCATCTAAAGAGTACTTCCAGGAAACTTTAGTATACTCACTGGGTTGTTTGTTGATTGGAATCTTTTCTCATGGCAAAAGCCACCATTGCTTTGAACAGATATTCTTCAGAAGCATCCCAGTTATACTGTAAGAGAACAGATAGTTAACAAAAGTAAGGAGTCAAAAGGGAAACTATTTTCTACCTGAAGAAATACTCTTTTTTTAACATCGAGAAACATACATTTGTACGGAGTAGAAAACTGCAAAGTCTTTCTGCGTGGAGGTGCCTGTGGCAATATTTATGTATTTATAAGTTAACATATCTCATCTTTCTTGGAAGATGGCATACACAACCCAATTCCTCCCCATGTTTCCTTCAGAATAACCCTTAGAACAAGTAACTTGACAAAGGTCACCTAGCACATTTTCTAAGTCAGGAGGACTAGAACTTAAGGGTGCAATCAGACAGTGAGAATGGGTCAGGTCTGATCACACTGGGTTGCTTCTCTGGGAGTGATCTCCCTTAAAGTGCCCCTTCTGTCCATACAGGAATTGCTCCAACCTGCCCCCCCCCTCAAAAAGCATATCCCTGCCACTTAGACATAGAGCAGGGTGGGGCTAGTTGACAATCTCCTGTTCGTCGAGTGGTTTCTGGAAAACAGCTTGCATGGAACCGTGCTGTACGTGGTCCAAAACAGAGCTACGTCTCTGTCTCCCAAGTCCATGTCTGGCACTGTAACCACTACACCCTACTTCAACAGGTTCTGAGTGTCAGGTTAGGCCCCCAACACATGGGAGTGCTGAGGAAGTGGTTAAAGAACTGTTGGGAGCCTTACATGACAAGAATATCCTAGTGAGCAGTTAACTGGGATTTGAGGAACTACTGAAAGTAATTTTTATTTAGTTGGTGGTATTAGGCATTCATTCTTTTAGTTGTACGTTCTGACTGAATATGTCCAGAAGCACAACAAACAAAGAAACAAATAAATAAATGAGAGTTGGCTTATTTCCAGGCACAACTCTTATCTGCAGGTTTTTCGAATCTACAAACCCCTATTGCCTAAGGCCTAAACCGGGGACAGGCAACAGTAGCCCTATCAAGCACAGCCTTCCTTTGGCCCTGTCAGGCACAAGCTATTATGCAACCTGCAGTCCAAAACATCTGAAAGGCCATAGCTACCTGCCTCTGTCCCAAATGCTCACGAGATTGCCTGTTCCATTTCCATATGAACTTGTTTGATTATTATGATCTTTGGCACAAATTCTGATGCAGGTGCCCCCATCACCAAGGTAAAGGGGACAGCTTTCAGTGATAGGGCCTTTACTATGATTGTGTACAAGTTCATGGAAACTCTTTCCACCCATTTATTCACCTGACATCTAATTATCTGATATTTAGGTATGGGGGTGGTGAGAAAAAGCTTTTTAATGCCCTGGTATTTAATTAATACCATGACACTGTTTCTTGGTTGGCCCCTGTAATGTAATGAAAAGGTTTGGCTGAATTTTCAAACTGATTTTTTTTTAAACTGAGAAGCACATTCCATGGCATTTGAACCCATGATGGGGTCGAGGTGGCTGGGCACGTGGAACACAATCAGACTGCATGCATCCTGAAAACTCTTTGGGATATGGAATCAAGTCAGCCTGTCTAGGCTTGCTGGATTCTACAGACCAACCAAGAGGTCTCCAGGAAAGCTGATCCTACTATCCACTCTTGTTCTGTTCATAAACCTCTCAACCTATCTTAGCCTCACAGGAGTATTGTGAGTAGGGAGGAGGACAGCCTTGTAAACTGCCTTGTCCTCAGTGAAGGAAAAGTGTGATACAAATGTAATGGGAAAATAGTTCTCTTATTCCACAGTGGGAAGCAGGCTGCAGAGAATGGCTAATCAAGATGGTCAGCATTTCAAGGTGCCTTTCTTATGAAAGCAGCCTGAACAACAGCAGTTGCTTTCTTCTCTGGAACCACTTCTAACACTCAAACATTGAAACCTGACTTTTATTATATGAAACTCTTAGCCAAACATAAGAGATTTATGGTTGATGATTTCTACCCCAAGCAGTTTACCATTTAAGGGATATTGCATGGTTCCATCAGTTATGGAGACATAAGTAAACAAGGAGACAGTTCAGCTCAATAGGATAGGCAGCAATTTAACTGTGCCATCTGCCCATTCTAACTTGCTCATGTAGCTTCAGCAGCTTTAATGGGCTTTAATTTCCTTCTAATGTATCCTAAGAACCACATCTGCTGCATTTTTATGAGAAGTGGCATGTATCAGACTAAGAGGCTACAGCATCCATTCAGAGTTGTTTTAAAATGTATACTGTGCCTCTGATAGATAACAACCAACAGTCCTGATATGCCATTTCAAAATTATCAGCATCTACATTTATAAATGAAAGTAATTCATTTTTAAAAATTCTGACCATTAACCTAACCATCTTTATCTGTCTGCAATCTCATTGCACAGATCCAGGCAGTTAAAGCCAACAATAATGCTCCAAAATCTGACTTGCCAATCCTCTTGTTCTGCTGGTTAAGTAAAACTAATTCAGTCAGGAGTGCTTGAGAGAAAATTTATCTATACTGTGTAGTGTGAAATGATTTTAAGATAACAACAACAAAAAAAGGATTGAATAATCATCAGTAATTGGCTGGCTAACATAAGGATCAGTCTAGCCATGGTTGAAACAGAGAGCCTTAAACAGCAAAAATGAGTTTGATCCTTGCATCTCCCTACCTTTCTATCTACTAATGACAGAATCACGAAATGTTCCTCTAGGGATTTATTTATTTATTACTCCAATTTATATACCACCCTGCTAGTGCCAAAGCACTATGCTGGACAGTTTACAAAGGATTAAAAACAAATCTTCACAACAGAACACTAAAATATAACACAAAATAGCAATAATGTGGCAAGAGCATTTAAAGAAAAACCTGTGGCACCAACAAATTATTGCAGAAAAGCAAAGCTGGAGGCAAAACAGTCAGCCAGGGTAAGAATGGAATGCCCTCCCTGAAAATAAGTGTTTTCAACTGTCTCCTAAAAGAATACAGGGGGCCAGGTGAAGCTCCTGTGGGAGCTGGTTCCATAGTCTTGGTGCCACCACACAGAGAAGGCCCTACCTCTGGCAGATGACTTTTAGGCTTCTCTCAGGGTGTCTACCCGGAGGAGCCTGGCCTGAGATGATCTGGTGGTTTGGGCAGATAACATTGGGAAAAGAGGCTCCAACAGGTAATGTGTTCCCAAACCATGAAGGACTTTGTATATAAGTGTCAAACACTGAAACTGATTGAGGACACAATGGGTAACCAGTGCAAACTGGCCAGAACTGGAGTGATGCAATCACATTTGTTCACACTGACTATCAGTCTGGCAGCCACATTCTGGACCTGCTGTAGCCTCTGGGTCAGCCTTAAGGACAGCCCCATGTAGAGTGCATTGCAGTAGCCAACATGGAAGATCACCAATGCCTTCACTAATGCCCTGAGGGAGCCCTCGTCAAGGATGCCAAGCTGTGTATGTGTACCAACATGAATAGTTCATCGAGATAGCTGTGTTAGTCCATTTCACATGTATTACATGGACAAAATAAAAGAACAGAAGTATATTGTGACACTTTTATTAATCTCAGTATGAGCTTTTGGAGATTGCAATCCAGCACGTTCATGTAACCAACCCTCTGAATGTTCGTTCCTCGTATTAACAAGTCTACTGGCACTTTGAAAATCAATTACCAGTGTCTGTAATACAGCTCTCATCTTCTGCTTTTCTCTTTTACTTGGTGCCAACCCCTGCCAGCACGTATACTGCATATACAAACCTGGGGTCTAGATAGTGTACAACATGCTTCCGAGGAAGTGAATTAGAAGCCACCAATGTTCTCATTGAAATAAAGGTGTCAGTTTTAAAAGAATGATATTGTTTGGTTTTGTCTTTGCTATTCATGCTTTAATATGAGTTGACTTCCTGCTTTTTCCAGATTGCCTGGTTTTGACAGGATATTTGCTGCCTTGTGCCATCTTTCCGGACAAGGAAACTGCCTCTGGAACAAAGCCTTCTTTAAGGGAAGTTTATCTGACACTAGGTGGTAAAGTACAGATCTTGAGATGTTTTTAATGTACATTCAAGAATACATTTAAAGCCTTTGACCAGTTCAGTGTGTGCCACTCCTAGGGATAAGGAGGAGTGTGCCAACATAGGGAGCAGAGAGGAAAGGAACAGAGAATACATTTTTTTAAAAAAAAATGGTGGCATCATAGCATAGCAAACACCTGGTTCTAGCTCTTCTTTAGAGGAAGCATGTTTAGAATCAGAAGGAAAGGATTAAATATTTGGCACTTGAGAGGCAGCATCCATCTCAGAAAAGCAGTCAGGATGTTAAGGGCTAGAAGCTGACACAAGATACATTTTTGCCAATGGACATGGACATGATGACAGTTGATAACCATTCATTTAATTCTCTAGTACTCTTTCCATTTTTAACCGACAAGCAAAACAGGGATTTCAGTAGGATAAAGATTACAAAAGTGACAGCTACCTAATAGTGTGTGATTCATTCATACTAGAAGCAGTACAGGTCCTTGAAATTATTCATGGAAGAGAGGTGAAAAGATTGCTGGAGAGTGTTGTTATTTTTCAAACAGATGTAAATGTTGCAGCCATGTCAGTTCTTTGTTCATATGCCAAAAGAATGAATAATTTTATATCAGAAAATAAATTTGATTGATTGGCAATCTGCTGAAATTTGATAAGTCCTTGAAATTATTCACAGAAGAGAAAAGATTGCTGGAGAGTGTTGTTATTTTTCAAACAGATGTAAATGTTGCAGCCATGTCAGTTCTTTGTTCATATGCCAAAAGAATGAATAATTTTATATCAGAAAATAAATTTGATTGATTGGCAATTTGATGAAATTTGATAACGTGTCTAGACAAATTTGTCTCTTGTAATTTATGCAAACACATCATACAAGCTGGGCTTTCATAAAATATATTTGATAGATTTGAAAGAATGCCTAGACAATTTTGTATCTTATAAATTAAGCTACCACCTCATGCAATTTGATTTTTGTAGAAATTTCACCCTAGAAATAGATGTAGCTCTTTCACTTACTGCATAGTCTTCCCGAGTTGTTTTGATGCTAAGACGTACTTTGAAAGCATCCTTGGCATCTGTTATAAAGAAAAGTAATAAAAAGAAATGCATAGTTCCCACATGTATAAATCAGTTGATGGTACTTTCTAAGTTACTTGGGTTTCCCTCCCCCCCCAAAAAATATCAGAGTATACTTTCATGGATTCACAATATGATGAGACTTTCTGCGATGACATAGATTAGAATTAGAAGATGAGTCTGCTTAGGATGGAAGTAAAAGAAGAAGGGACCAGTCAGCATGGATGCTTGTGGGGAAGAAATAACTGCAGAAATGACAGACTACTCAGGCACATTTATTTTCCAAAACTGTTGGGACCCATTTTAGCCAGTGTTGAACAATTGCTGACAAAGAGGATACAGCCCTGAAATGATCTGTGCACTGCCCCAGTTGGATTCTCAGCATTATTTCACAACTAATAAATTCATTCTCAAAAATGCAAAGCTACTCAAAATGATTTTGTAGCCTGAACACATTCACGGAGAAGCCAGTTTCAAAACATGTTTAGTCTTACTTCCAAGTGAATACAAATAAAAATTCAGCCCCAGTTTGTGCTTTACTAGGGTTTTTTCCCCCAAAGCCAGCTGATGGATGAAAGATGAAGTATTGATTGGACTCTTACCTGGTTTGCAAAGCTCAGGGTTTGCGACAGTAATCCAGGCAGAGGCAAGCAGCAACCCCCTTAACATCCTTCCAGCTTGGGAAACTTCAGGCAAAAAAGGGGGGAAAAGCCGTCGCCACTGTAAGGCAGTCTTAAACTTTCCATGACCCAGGATTAAAGCATCAGCAACAGGACCAGAAAGGCACTGAATAGAAAGTTTAATAATTAACCCACTTTATTTTAGCAAATAGTTGTGGGAAACTATCTTCTGCTAGGTATCTTCTGGGTGCCTCAGCAAAACAAGTATGAGGTGTTTATTAGTCTTTCTCAGAATGCTTCATATAATGTGCACAGGTCAAACCGTTTGTCATTTCAGTCATAAGGCTGCTGCCATTTTATTCAAAAGCACTGTTGCAGTGAATGTGTGCTGCACTGCCCTCAAGGGAACACGAATTGGGCAGGATATAACTTAACAAAGGGCAAGGAGCATACTGAGCATGATATAGCGTGCCAGAGTTCCATCGGTGCAGGCAGCGCAGTTTTGCCTGTCAGCATGGAGCTTTGTTCCATAATTGGCAGATTAAGTTTCCTCCAGCAAGCATATTAGGGTGTGACTAATATTCACCTCAGAACATTCTATCAAAAAAAAACAAAAAAAAAAACCATCAGTGGTTGCAGCATTAGGGAAAAACCCTTGAAATTTATGCTAAAACCTGATAAACAAGGTCTTTTACTAAAAAACAAAAAACACGTTCACAAACAAAACATTAATCTAGATAATTATTTTTTTAAAAAGCCATCTTCAGGCATAATAAAACATGGAGGTTCTCTGCTGTGGACAAAGAGAAGGAAAGCATCCCATTGCACCACCCATCCTTCTCTGTTACTATTCCTGTTGTCTCCAGGGCAGGTGACCCTCTACTGTGTCCAAGAGGCCATTCATGCAACACAGAACTCCGTAGAAGAAGGAGCAAGTATTGGGCTGTCCCACTCTTTCTTGCCCTCCCTCCTCATATGCAGTGACGACATGCGTAATAATGTCTGAGAAGGGGTAATATTAATTCATAAAGCCAAAGTCATGTCCCCCAACATACAGGGGCCTTGGGGAAGAAAAAATTACATTCCACTTGGTGGTATAATGCAGTGGTAGTTTTTAATGATTTGTGGCATGAGGAAGAGGATTCACAATTGTGCTCACCATTCAGTCATTCCAACATGAAGTGATACACAATGTGCATAATATATTCATTTTTTTTTCACCTATTGGATTTATAGCCCCTCTATCAAACAAAACTGCATGGTGACTTTGCAAAGAGTCTCTGCAGATGAATTGTAAGTGTTACTATTGTGTTACCTGTGCTCTGTCCACAGTGATATAACTGGGGGAAAACCTGACTTAGTAAGCTTTGCAAGAATAAAATGGATGTATACTCACCTAATAAGCATGGGAAGCACAAACTATGTTGACAGTTCTCATACATCCACAGTAATTGACTTTTTTCACACCATCTACCCACCACGCAAAGTAAACATGTTATGACTAGTGGCTAATCTCAGGATTAGCTGAACTTTGTGTTTCCGGGCTTTGTGGCTTATAACTGAGGAAAGCTTTATTCCGGAATCCTGCTCTAAAACATTTGAGTTGCTTTTTATCACACCACCTTCCATGACAACTTGTGTAACCTCCTTTTCACCCGTTTCTTCAGCTTCTTATCCACATACCAAATGCTGTTGAAAGCAGCTAAATTGCATCTAGCCTATAACTATGATAACTAGATCCATTGTGAGATTCAATGGCTGAAATCCCATTGCTTAGTGTAATAAGTCACAGCTAGAGCAGGCCCAGTGGAATTTGGTGAGTCAGCTCTTCCATAAGTTCCATTCATCATCATCATCATCATCATCATAGAACTACAGAGCTGGAAGGGACCTATGGATCATTGAGTCCAGCCATTGTCAAGGAGGCACAGTACAGAAGTGAAGTCCCAACCTCTGGCTCTGCAGCCAGATGCCTAAACTACTAAGCTATCTAGCAGCTCACCTGGCAATTCAATGGGCCTACTCTTGTTGCAACTTGATGTACTAAACACCAAATTCCAGCCATTCTATTTTAGCAGTTTTTAAATGTTATTAAAATAAGAACAGTCTGCTTATAATACTTCCTGCTGCATAAGCCAGTCCTAGAATTGGATTATTAAGAATTGCTCAGGAGACTTTTCTTCTTAAATAGGATTTTTTGTTCTATGTACCCTTGCTTAGGTTAGTAAGTTTTCTCATTGCACTTGCTCTGCGCCTGCCTTGATTCATCTGATGTCACAATGTTATTCTTATTCATGTTTGGCCAAGTGGATAAATTATGACATGGGGTGATCAGTATCACACTGTAGTGCATCAAGACAAAGATATATGTATAGTTTTGCATGTGGACGAGATACTTAAGTTTAAAGAATGGGGTAGTGTATACTTATGAAGCTCTTATGTGTTCTTTGAAAGAATAATAGAGACATAAATGCAACACACAGTGTTTCCTGTATGAATATCACTGTACACTGTATTCAATACTTTAACTCAGATTAGGATTTACAAAAATAAAGCTGAGACGTACATTCTATTATACATTCACCTCTGATTAACTGTTTTTAGCTTTGATTAACTTATAGCGTCTGCAAGAAATTAAAAAAAAACTTCTTGGAACATTTAAGGACAATTTTGCAAAATATCTTCTGTGGCCTTTTTAATGTCTTTAAAGTGGGAAGTGCCAGAACTGCCAAAAAGTTACTGAAATATAAGTTAATTAACAGCTACACTCAGACTTAAACCTGTGGTGTCTTGAAAAATTAACTGTTTCAAATTCTGGGGGAGTTAATCACTACTCCTTTGAACTAAAAATTAACTTCTCTCACGCACACAAAATATATGAAACTATTACTGTCACTAATCAGTCACAGAAAGGAGACTAAAGGTTTTTGAGATATGTTTCCAATAAGGTGCTTGATCTTTTCTATTGGCTTTTCCTTATCTGCTAAGGTGATTGATGGTGGGGGCACAGGAAACTTGGAATTGATTTCCAGTGTTTTAAAAAAACTGATTTGGTCAAAGCTAAGAAGGGATTTAGCTTTTCTTCTATCTGCTCATGTTAAACAGTTCGGCTTAAATGGAATTTATAACATGTATAATTCTTAAAATTATTCTAAAGCTTTCTTTAAAATGCACTGTAACTATCTTTGTTCCTGCCACATAAGTGATCTGTTTTGCTCAAAGTAGAGCTAGAGGCAGAATTTCTACAAGAATTCATGTCCCCTCCACTGCCAAGCATGGAGGACGGCCATTCCCAGAAGTAACATACACATTATGAAATCTGTTTGGCACCTAATGAATCTAATCTAATTACCAGTACAATTCTGAATGCCCAAGACACCCCAGTGCTAGCTGAAATTATGTAGAATACAAATCCTTCTCAGCTAACAAACACTAAAAAGGACTTAGAATACTATCCTGGCCTTACATTGTGCTGGCATTGCAGCCATGTTCTTGGGCTGGAAGAGGTTTGAATCTGGCATACCACAGTTCCTCTCCTACTGCAATATCTTCTCTGCCCCCTTCCCTGCTTTTTTAGCTGTTCTGCCAACAAATCACTTTGTCATATGATTCCTACCAATCAGCCTGAAAAGGGCACTTCTGCTACTGTAGGAGATGCATGCCTCCTCATCCTAGCCCCGTATACAGTGGTGCCTTGACTTATGAACATCTTGACTTGTGACCAATTTGAGTTACAACCAGCTCCAGTCGCAAAATTTTTCTTTGACTTGTGACCGGTGACTTGAGATACGACTGCAATGTCTCTCTCTCGCCTCTCTCTTTTTGTGCCTAAAAGCACAAACCTTTGTCTGAGGGGTCTGTGTACTCCAGTGATGACATTCTTTCTTTCCTCTTTTCCAATTGTCCAATTCCTCCCTCCTTTCCTGCCCTTTTTTAACCTTAGAGGTCATCCTATGCTAAAAGAAAACCTCTCCCCTTAGTGGACGGATTAACTGCTTTTGCATTAGTTCCTATGGGAACTAATGCTTTGAGATACAACCAGTGCCTTGGGACACGACCGAAAATACGGCCAGAACAGATTAATCACGTTTTATTGTATTCCTATGGGGAATGGTGCTTTGAGTTATGACCAAATGGAGTTACGACCATCGTCCCGGAATGAATTAAGTTTGCAACTGAAGGCACCACTGTAGCAGGTAAATTTCTTGAGTCAGCACTATCTATCATATTTGTTGTGATGTGCCATTAAGTTGCTTCTGAGTTGTTATTGTTGTTATATGCCATCAAGTTGATTCCACCTGTGAATTAATGACCACCAAAAGCTCCTATCATTAACAGCCCTACTCAGATCTTATAAACTCAAGGACGTGGCTCCCTTTATTGAGTCAATCCATCTCATATTCAGTTTTCCTCTTTTTTTTTTGTCTTCAACTTTTTCTAGCATTATTGTCTATTCCATTGTATCTTATCTTCTCATGATGTGCCCAAAGTTAATTCACTTTTGCTTCTAGAGAGAGTTCAGGCTTGATTTGACTGATAATATCTCTAGTTTCAATCTTCTGCTTCATGGTCAATTGATTTAGTAATGCAAATTTGTTTTTCATATGGACTTACTCTTCGTCAGAAATGTTACTTAAATCTGTGTCATTTGGATACCTTTTTTGCGTCCTTCTTCAGTCTTACTCTAGTTTTTTTTATATTAGCATTTCATGGTCTTTCATCTGCTCCCCGTTTTATATTGGCAGCAATAATACAACTTATCCATCTACCAGTTTCAATTATGTAATCTATTTGATCTCTGCATTGGCTATCTAGTGATGTACATGTGTACAGCTGTCTGTTCAGTTGCCTGAAACATGTATTTGCAATAAACAGTTATTAGGTGTAGAGAATTCAACAAACTCTCCTGCTTCATTTCTGACTCCTAAGCCAAATTCTCCAACAATTGTTGGTTTTACTTTATTTTCTATCCCTTTGTTCCAGTTGCTTGCAATTATCAGCGCATCCTGTTTGTCCGTGTGGTTAGTTTCCTCCTGGTCAGTGCATAAAAGCTTTGGAATTCTTCTTTAATAGCATCTATAGTTGGAGCAGACTTGGGTGATAACTAAGCAGATAGTATTCAAAGAAATAGTTGTGTTAGTCTGTGAAAGCATATCAGACAAATAAAGAAAAAAAACAATAAAAACATTGCAGCACCTTAAAGACTAGGTATTAAGTTTTAATGTGAGCTTTTGTGGAACAAGTCCACTTCACCAGACATACAAGTGAGGCAATATGACTGCCATAGCCATGTATAAATATGACAGTCATGTATAGTCTCACTCTTATGTCTGAGGAACTGGATTTGTTCTAAGAATGCTAACATTAAATTATAGTAGCTAGTCCTTTGCATGCTGCAACATTTTATTTCTCTGTTATTGTTTGTTTGTTGTTGCTTTGTTTGTTAAGCTAATAGGTTTTCCAAGAAGTCTGAATGATATTATTTGGTCAAACTTATGGCTTTTGAAGGTTTTCAAGGTATGTGAGCTATTCAGACTGGTTTATGAGGGACAACCTCCTGTGAGTATCTGTGTGTAGGCAGGGATTTCCAGCCAGGTCTTCACAGTCATAGTTCAATACTCTGTCCACCATAACACACTGGCTCTCATTTTACATCCCGGGTGTAGCTCGAAGCTTTGGAGAGCAGTGAACAACAACTCTTTAATATTTATTACCTGGTATGTTGCAATGTCACATTGTACACTGGGCTTCAAGCTGAGAAAATACAAGTGGCCCTGCTAGCTTTCTATCCTTACACTTCTGGTTCAGTCTGGGAAGAGCAACAAGAGGGCACTGCAATATATGTGTTGCACATTTTATTGTAGATCAACAAGGAGTCCAACCAAGATTTTCCTCTTATAAAGCAGCCACCAGTTTGCAGCCAAAGTGAATTTATTTAAATTATCCATATCGTCTTCTAAACTCAGTCCAAATCTTGCATCTGGTTGCAGGGAAATGCCTCATGGCCTGGTGACATGCATGCAGATGGTTGATTTTTATTTAAAAGTTGAAAAACTAAGATAAATATAATAAATAAAAATAAAAACATCAGACAATGATCTGAGATGAGTGGATAAGATCTTGTTCTTTCCAGTGCCATTTCTGCAGTGTATGCGACTGGGGGGAAGATAGCAACTCAGCATCCTTGCAAAATTCCCAGCTCTCTCATTCACCAAAGAAGAAATAAGCAAACTGTAAAGAAATGTAACATGCATATTTTCGTCCCATCGCTATGCCCCCCGGTAGCGAAACCCCTTTCTTTTTAACGAAAGAATGGCAAACTTCTCAGTTTTTTCAGCGACAGGAAGTGATGGCGTTGGAAGGTCTTTCGACTTCTTATATTTATGTTCCATTCGCAGCTCTCTGATTTGTTGCTCCGGTAACTGAAACAGCTTCCTCTTTGCACCGGAAGTGTCCTCATGGCACGTCCTGTTGCTTTGTATCACGTGACCACCCTGGAAGCCTTGTGTAAGATGGCGGCGCCCGTGTCGGAACCAGTCGTAGATGGGGAGGGGTCGATAAAATTGAGGTAAGACGGGGCCTGCTGTGGGACGTGGTAAGGGAACGTCGGTTGTCAGGAGGGGATGCGGAAGTAATGTTGGTTTCCCCGACGCTCTAGTTCTTTCTCGTTGCGCTTTGGGGGTTGGGGGGGATCCAAACGGAAAGCTCTGCTACCGAAACGGGTAGGAAGGAGGAGAGGTAGGCAGGTGGCGAGTGGCAGCCTCGGCGGGGTTTCCGCTGTTTAAGCTGCGTATGCACCATAAATGCCTCAGGTTAGATAACTTTATTTTTGGAGGCAACGCATGGGGAGAGAAGGCGGGAACCGGACAGATGTGGCTTGTAGGAAACCTAAAGGGTAGAAGAATGAATAGGCAAGTTGGAACACAGAACAATAGATGAGAAATAAGATGGCAAGCGTTTCAGCGGCAGTGAATCTAAGACATGGCTTTATGCACTTGACGGAACTGCAGAAATGTCGAACCCCTTTAAAGAAAGGTCTCTGATCCAATTCGTACTTTCCTCTTTTCCTCTCCCCTCTTGTAAAGCTTATTATCATGTTATCCTAAAATTATGTTTTGCATCAGGATATTAATATTCTAATTCAACCTGTTTCAGTCCAGTAAAAAAACATGTCAGTTTAGCTGTCCTCAGCCATCTTGGATAATTAGAACTGCTTTTAGCCAGATGATGGTATGCTGAATCTAAACAGTTGTTAGCTTAGTTATGGTGCAGATTATTTAGGACTATCCTGACATTTGTTCCAGAATAGTTATTGTGACTTTGGGCTGAAAGGCCTTTGAATGTAGTGTAACTCAGATCTTCCCCACTTTTCTCCTTCTCCATCTCATTCCCCCCCCCTTTTTTTTTGGCTCTTTGGCCAGCTGACTTCAGCCAGTGCAAAAGTTGTGCACTCAGATCGGAGATAAGTGAGCATCAGGGGTTAGACTGGCATAAGAGGCTTCTGCTTGTTTCAGACTCACTTCAACCAGTGTATCTTTGAATTTTGCTTTTCAAATAAGAAAAAAGTGGGTATTTGTCTGTCAAGAGCTGAGAAATTATGAATTACTCTAAAAACAGATGGATTTTTCTGTCTTCAGCCACAAGAAGTACAGAGCACTTTTGAAAAAAGAGAAACGAAAGAAAAAGAGACAAGCATTGGCAAGACTGAGAGATTCAGGTAAAAATTTTCTTACCATATGTAAAGACACTGAAAATGTGAGCTGTATTTCTGTTACCAGTAAACACCTGAGCTGTCAGTATTGACTATTTTGAAAAAGTGAATTAATTTTCCACCTGTTTCCTAAATTGTTTTAATCATTCATATATCAAAATCAACATAAGTCAAACAGAATTTATGAGTTTTGTAATATCAGTACAAACATTCATGTAGGTACAGAAGATACCTGAAATATATAGGCCAAGCATCACTTTCCACACGAGAGAGAAGTATCAGCGAGTTTGGAAAATCTCTGTATTTGGTAAAAAAAATTTAGGGGAAAGGGAATAGGCTAAATAAGTACTATGTTTGCTTAGTGACTGCTGGGAGGAGGGGAAGTGGAAAATTGAGAAGGGAAAACAGAACGGAGACTTGATTCCACAACTGAAATTAGAACATTTTGTAACATTTTCTTGAAGTTACCAGTGTTAATAATTTTATAATGAAATTTTATCATAGATTGCCGTGGTTTCTGTAACTTGAATACACGGTTTAGGGTTATTTGGAGTATCAAATAAGCCTTGGAAGCATAGTTTGCATCTCCAACTATTGGACATGCTTTCACTGTTTATTAAACGCTGCAGTCTCTTGAATGGGATCCATGTTTGGGAAGTCTGATTTATGGTTCATTCACCATGACAAAATGTACATAATTCTTTAAAATAAGAAAGCCCCCCTTTTTTGTCAGAGAAAGCAGATGAACATGAACATATTTAAGAAGAAAATGCAGATGATGATGAAGAAGAAAAACTTGAAGAGGAAAGGTAAATTAAAAAGTGCAATATATGATTGGCAGCCCAGTTGTCTGAATGTTTACTATGGAAGTGAGTGTCTCTGGGTGTCACTTCCAGGAGAGGGGGATTAGGACTCCATCTTAGTGTCCAATATGAAAGGATTGTGGCTTTAGAATATTTCCCCTGTCCACAGGTAGGCAGTGGGATAGCTATAGCATGCCTGCACACACAGTTGATGAATAAAAGCCATTCTTTTTTCTTTTTTCTTTTAGTTTTTAATCAGATAGGCAGGAGTATTTAAATGTAAAATGCTAAATTTTATCTGCCTTCTATATTTATTTCCTTAATATGTTGAGGCTCGCTGGATAGCTCAGTGGTTTAGGTATCTGGCTGTGGAGCCAGAGGTTGGGAATTCAATTTCCCACTGTGTCTCCCAGGAGAAGAGACAGCTTGTTTAGCCTTGGGCAAGCTGCACAGTCTCAGGGTGTCCTCAGAAAAAGGGAATGGGAAACCACTTCTGAGTATACGTTACCTGAAAACCCCCCAGAAAGGTTACCATAAGTCAGAATTGACTTGCTGGCATGTGGTGATTATTATTAACATGTAGCATCCTTATATATACTTAGAAACATTACCAACAAGTAACAGTGATGGTCAGGTGAAAGTTTATGCTCCATTTAAAAATAGTCCTGGGCACCCAAACGGGAAGTAAGAGAGAGATTCCAGTGTCTGATAGGGAGGGGAGCTCAGTGATGGCAGTGAGGAAGCAGGTGGAAGTCCGGGCGCAATTAAGAGGAGGAGGAGGAATGACGACTGTGTGACCCAACAGGGTGGGAGACATGAGACTTGAATGAAGTGGAATGATGAGTGCCTTCCCATTACATAGGAACAAGTGGGGAGACCACAATAGCATGAACACTACTGTGGAGAGCAACAGGAAGGGTTAGTTGTGGATGTGGGGAAGATACCTTTGGGTTCAAAGTTGTAGGTTTATATTTGGATGTTTAGCCCATACTTGCTGTGTTTTCAGGTTCTTAAATAAGTTACTTGTCTTTTAGCTTCACCAGTCTGACTTTCTTTGAAATTGATGTTTTGTCATTAGCTACACCCACAACAGTACCCATTGTAATAGCACTCACTCATAAAGCATTTTTAAAATTGCAAATGTGCTCACTAACCCAAAAATGCTGTTGACCCCCAAGAATAGTATTATGTCATAGTTACTTTTTAAGACAGCAGGCCCCAAACTGTCCAGTTGACTACATTTTTAATACTTTTATGTATACATAGAAGTAAACTCCACTGACGTCTATGGGACTTAGTTGCGATTACGTTTAAATATGTAAGATTGCAGCCTTACTACTAGCTTTGTTTGATTTTAAACTGTACTTTTAAGGCCACTGAAGATTATTTTTTAGAGACAGAATGGCAAAAAAATTTTTTCAAAAGAAATGTATTAGTTTGCTGATAGTCAATGGTAAATTGGCTATGTTTTCAGGCAAAGGCTTCATGAAGAGTGGTTACTGAGAGAAACAAAGGCTCAAGAAGCTTTCAAGATCAGAAAAGAAAAAGAAGAGGCAGCAAAAAAGCGTCAAGAAGAAGAAGAGGTTTAACATATGTTTTGATATATTTGTGGACAGATTTTTAGAGTTGATGTTTTAAACATTAAAAATCCCTGATGTCTATTAAACAGTGGTTCCCAACCTTGGGCCCTCCGATATTCTTGGACCAGAACTCCCAGTAGCCTTCACTACTCGCTGTGCTGGCCAGGATTTTGGAGAGTTGTCGTCCAAGAACATCTGGAGATCCAAGGTTTGAAACCATAGCTTTAAAAGAACGAGACAATGAAGTTGAACTTTCACCTTTCGTTAGCTTTGGAAAGATGACACTAAAGTATAGCAGTTAGTATTGTTGGCCTTCATAATAAACTAAAGAAGGAATACTAACTTTAGCCAAAGGGAGAGAATTGCTTAAGAGCCATTCTACTGCTGGAAATGAGGATATTGCTGGAAGGTGAGCATGCTGTTGGAAAGCCCTTGGCGCAGACATGTGCCAATGTATTCTATCTGCAGAGCAGAGGAAAGTGCAGCGTGGCCGCACACAGCAAAAGGTGGCCTCCAAGGTCCATTTGACTTCTTGATTCACCCGCAGTGTTGGCTTGGTGTTGCATTGTTGACTTCCTCCCCTTTACTAGACAGGTGGCGGTTGCTTGGCTGGCAGATATCCTCCTACCCCTGCCAGCCATGAGTCATAAATGAATAGCTTGATTGTTCTGCTAGCCTTAGATCCTCAACATGCCTGTCTGCAAGTAAAACACCATGAACTCAGTGGGGCTCACTGCTGAATAGATATGCGTAAGATTGGGCCAGAAGGCTTTCGGTGATTATTAGGAAGCCAGTTTTACTTTGCGAGGATGAAGTTAAAGGGTTCTTATGCCGCACATTCCCAATTAAAAAAGGGAATGGAAAAAAAATAGATTTATTAATATATCTCTGACAGCAAAAGCTGTCTTGCTATTTTCAGAAGAGAGATTTACATTTAAAGGACTCGTTGCTTAAAGGGTGGTACTTGATGCAGATATTTAACTTTTGTAATGAACTGAAATTAAGTAATCCTTTTAGACAAATGAACTATCTCATTTTTTTAAAGCAAAAAATAAGAGAAGAATGGGAAGAACAGCAACGCAGAGAACAAGAGGAGGAGGACCAGAAACAGCAAGTGAAGAGAGAAAGAGAGGTGATTCCTGCTCTAGGAGGATAAACACAGTGCATATCCTCTCACAGCAATAATGCTCAGTATAGTGCAAAATGACTGCTGAAATCTTTCTTTTTTCCAAAAAAAGTTTTTAAAATAATATTTCTATGAATCTGCCTAACTCACTGTCTATTGAGTCCTCGCATTATGGATGAGTTGAGGATGAAGGCCTGTATCCACTGAACTTGGGAGTAAGATTCATGGAACTTACTAGGGACATACATCCAAATATGTGTATGTTGAATCCTATAGCAAATTGAGTTCTAGCTATTTAGAGTGCACTGCAGCATAAAGCGATTTCCGTTGCTTAGCTATTTATAACTTTAATTTTATTGCAGTATTTATTTAGAGCCTGTCTTATCCCCAGGGCTCCGAGCACTTTGTGCAGGTGTTCAGAAAACAAAATGATGAGATGGAAGAATGTCCACTGAACCATTCCTACAAATGAAGTGTTGCTCGGCAGCAGCCTGTATACCCACCCCACCCCTACCCCTGCAACTGTAATTGTGATACCCTTCTTCCTGATAAGAAGGAAAAGCACCAGTTTTCAATCACTATGATTCTTTGGTCAGTAAACATGGCCAGGCTGCCCTTCTTTTTTTACCCCTGCAACTGTGTGGCAACTGGTAGTTGGAAGAGCTCCCTGAACTGCTGGTGTAATGCCAGCCCTCATGTGCACGATTCTTGCTGGGAGGGCATGGGCATGAGCTGAGAATTCTTATATCTGTATTTAGTTATAAACACTCTTAAGAAAGAATAGGAAGTACAGTATAGCACAATCACTTTTTTGAAGTTCTTAACCTGGATTGATAACTGCTGCAATTCCTTAACCATTCTTTCCACTTAAAGATGCTGCAGCTCATCTTCATTCATTCATCAAGACGTATCTTTTTTCTGTAGTTTGTTGGGTGTGGGAAAGGAGCCTATCAAAAAGCCTGAATTGGTTGGATTCAACTTTTTAATAAATTAATTCTGTGAATACAGAAAACAACCATCTTTTGCCATTTTGGACTTAATCTTTTATTCACTGAATTAAATATTTTGATTTAGTGTGTCAGAACAGTACAAAACAGAAAATCATACATTGTTTCTAGTTGCCTAACTCAGTAAGTATTATGTATCTTCATTGAACAAGTATCTGTAATATCCTTTGGAATTTGCAGTTAAAGACACAGTGGGCAATTGTCCATTTTTAACTTCTTTAGTAGAAAACATGAGGTTGAAGAGAATTGCTACTTTGTTCTGCTATTAATAAAATAAATGTGATGCGGTAGTCACTGAAAATATAGGGTTTCCTTCCTGTATAGGTTTAACAAAGGCAGACAGGGAATCAGGAAATAATAAGGAGATAACTGTTTATTAGTTAACTGCTGCAGATACATACATCTTAGCAAAAGTTGTCATGGCTAGTCTTAATTATTTGTTATCTTACATTGCATTTCAAGTGCTTCATTTTAGATAGATCATGGATAACCAGAAATTGTTGAAAAACCTATTTCCCTTAATGTCATGAGGTATTGTATTCTGAATGTGGAACCAGCTTTGATACAATGATATCCAGCTATAATACATACAAGGATCTGTTACAAAGATATTATAGATGTTGTCTTCCACTCAGTGAAAAACACCACGTAGGTGGAATCTTGGTCTTCTGGACATCAACAAGGAAATTACTTTTAAATCTATATTCTCAGCATGCTCCTTCACAGCAGAGTCTCTGGAATCAAAGTGTGCAGGAGGAAATCTCATATGATAAGTATGGTGAAAGTGAATTGACAGATGAATCTTGGCTAGCTGATTCAGATAAGGAGACAAATTCTTAAGTAATTAGAAAAAATTGTTTTCCGTATATTTAGATCTGTACTGAAAAATCACTTGTGGGATTATACTTCAACGATTATTTTGACTTGACAGTAGTGAAAATATAGTATTTCTTTACCTTTACCTAATTATTTCATTTTTTTTAACCTGTGATAGTTGCTGGAAAACGAAATATCTGTGAGTGGTGGCAGAAATTAAGGACATTATTTTAAACTCATAATATTGAGAAAACATGGTTTTTAAAATTGAACGTTATAGTCTTAACTAAAGAAACCAGATGTCTGCATTCAGGTTTTTCACTAGTCCTGTGTTTGCACCATTTATAGGAGGCTGTGCAGAAGATGTTGAGCCAAGCTGAAAGTCAGGTATGTTTAGACCTGTGTGAACTGGAACATGGATACCAGCAGAACTCTGTTCTTTAGAATTTGTATCCACCTCTCCCATTACTGCATCGCAGCCAAAGTATTTTATTCTGGAGTTGTTATTCAGAATGTGCTTCCACATGGCAGGGTTAGTGGGAAATGAACAGGAAAAATACAAAATGGGTGCTTAAAGAGAGAGAAAAGGGCATTTGGGACCATTTTATCCTGAACTCAAAGACTGGATGTGAAATCCTGTGTACCAGGTACTACAAATAGGTGAAACGTGTTCATAAGTGTTTGTATTCATACCAGGATCATTCTTCCCATCCATTTGTGTCTATAGACTTCCATTTTAAAACTTGAGTGGCATTCCATTAGAACACTAAATGTTACCATTCTGTTTATTAATGAATTTCAGTGGCTAAATCTACGGAGCCAATTTCTCTTCTAATAACAGCACTGTAAGAGTTGTGATTAAGCTTAGAGAAATTGTGACTGTGAATTCAGTTATCAACATTTTTATTAGACTGTATTTGGACTCTGTTAATGTGTAAGGTGCTTTTTTTAACAGCTAGAAAATGGAGCTACCTGGCACAATCCTGAGCCCCCAGAGAATATAGGAACAGAGAAGGATCGAGCCAATTGTCCCTTCTATATTAAAACTGGAGCTTGCAGATTTGGAGACAGGTAATTCGGTTCTAACTAGATTTTTAGAGTGCCTTACATCTGGGGAAAAAAGCATTGCTTTGGCTTGAATACTAATGGTGACATCTGACATTATCTGACTTCCATTTGCAACAGGAGTTTCCCTTCCTCTTCTGCTGTTAAATTGGCTAAATTGGCTGGATTATTCCATGGCCCTTCAGACAGACTTTAAGGGAAGGTGGGGGGCTGCTGCTGTTAAATTTTACATTAGGAAAGAATTTTGCTCATTGACTGACCTCTTCTGTAAATGGAAGCCCTTCCATTCATGGAACAGAAATGTTGGATCATACATTACTACAAATCTAATTACTACAAATAATCTAATTGCTTTGGTTTATATTAAGCACTCATGCTTTAAAGAAAATTTCCACTAATACTTTGAGGCCCCTAAAATTAGGAAGGAGGGATTGCTGTAGGAAGTGACTTTATGGCACAGGAGTGAAGCCTCGAATATTTTAAAGTTATCTACTTCCTTAACTGAAGAACTAAACATCTCTGTTGATGGGTTATTTTTATGTGTTATGATTTTCATGATTTGGCTTATGCATATGCTATCATTTTTACCAGAAATGACAACAGGTTTTGCAGTTGCAGAATGAACTGTCTTTTTCCCCCTTCAATTTTAAGATGCTCCCGGAGGCATAATTATCCATCATCTAGTCAGACACTCCTTATCAGGGGTATGTTTGTTACTTTTGGGATGGAGCAGTGTAAAAGAGACGACTATGACACAGATGCAAGCCTGGAATACAGTGAGGAAGAAATTTATCAACAGTTCCTAGATTTCTATGAAGATGTGCTTCCTGAATTCAAGAATGTAGGAAAAGTTATTCAGTTCAAGGTACACATCCCTTGAAGTTTTATTTCCTGTTCTTCAATACAATGGACCCTTGACTTACAGATGGCTTGACTTACAGACTTTTTGAGTTACAGACTTCTCTGGCCGCAAAATTTAGGTTTGACTTGCAGACTGAGATTTGACTTGCAGACCAGAAAAAACCCAAAATGGAACAAAAACGGCCTGTTACGGGATTAATCGGTTTTCAGTGCACTGTAGGTCAATGGAGACTTGACTTACAGACTTTTTGACTTGAGTACCGCCTTCCAATACGGATTAAGTTCTCAAGTCAAGACCCCACTGTAATTATTCATTTGTACATTTCATGTACATGTAGATGAGAAATGGAATGGGATGAGTATCTCTGCCAGTCTCCTTAGAGGTATAAAAAATGAAGCCACCCAGATGGGTATGGATCGGATTTGAAGGTTGACTTCATATTATTGGGGAAAATCTGTGATGGCAGGGAGTTCAACAAAGCTTAACTAGAGGGCGGCAAAGGATCCGGTTTTGGCTTTAGGGTTAAAGTGATGGGAGGAAGAAAAGGAGGATACTAATACTCTTTTTTTGGTCCCTTGCCTGGTGGACAAGCAGCCAGGGCATGACCACTTCTCCTGGAGGCCAAAGCCCATTGTGTAGCGTAGTGTATCTTGGACTTGAGAATAATACCAATTCCCCGAAAGCCTGTGCAGTGGATATCAGTGTTGAAGGAGAAGAACAAGCTCTCCTCCACACTTTAGCCTTGAAGGTATTGTGGGGCATTAATGAGGGCCACATGTCCCATACTAGTGTCCTCCTCTGCTTGCTGAGGAAACTGCAGTGTCAATTGGGAAAACTAGTTCCCCTGCATCTCTGATGCCAGGTGCTTGCAAGTCCCCAATTGCATGACTCCTTTTAAAAGGAATATTTATTTGCACTGGCTGTATCCTTGTCGCTGATTATATATATAGTTACTCTGAAGGGCACATTGCCTTGTGAATAATAAAAATTGGTATTTAAAGGGAGTGGAAAACAGGACTAGTAGCAAGATTTTATGTAAAAATGCTAACTGTTTATTTGGGACACTAATAATGGTAAGAAAATTGTAGAGGACTTTTTACAGCATTATGGCAGTTGTGAAAGCATATATGGTGTTTCATAAGCAATGTTAAATACTATGCATTATCTTCTGAATTCTACTCAGATGGCACAATGTTTTGTAAGAATGTAGCATGTTAAATATTATGTCTGGAAGATTTAGTTTTGTTTTTACAAATCAAATATTTTCTGACCATTAGCTGAATGTGGATTTTTTCCCCTCACGATTTATCAAAATGCAGGCATTTTTGTCCATTAGAAAGTAGAGCTAGATTTCAGTTTATGATGATCATTTTAATTTTACACCCGTCCTTTTGGAGTTGAAAAAGGTACCTCGATATAAATCAAGCTAACTGCAAGAGTTCATTTATTCATACAGCCAACTTGTATATCTTGTGGTAGAATAGTAGTGACAATGCTTTGTGTGGCGATGTTGATTCTCCTACATTAAACAAGCATGCATTGTGTCAATTGTTAGCTCTTTTCTGAATCAAATATGAATTCCAAGATTTGAAAAGGCCCTTTGTCCAAAAGAATGTTTGTGTGTACAAATCATGTTCCATCCAAATATCCAAAGCTAGAAGACAAGGTGGAATAAAATTACCCAACAGTATAAAATCAGCGTTCCAGGTTTTGTGGGATATTCCCTGACCCCCAGTATTTTGTGTTCCATCAATGGATTCAGTTTTCCTGATTAGGACTAGCCCATTGATAGAGGATGTCACTTTTGCATCTTTGCATCATGGTTCACCCAGAAAATGATTTGACATATTTTGTCTGAATAAATTAAACTGGAGCAAACAATAAGTCCCAGTGGCTAAAATGAGTAGCTCTGTTGGGACTTTATCCCCCCCCCCCCCCCGGTGCTGTTTTTTTACAAACTATATGGCAGATTTGAAGGTTTTGGGACTTTTCTTACTGTTTTGGTGACAGTGTCATACATTGTGTTTTTTAGGTCAACTTGTTTGTACATTCTGCAAAACAAAGGTGCTTCTGAGGGACTTAGGTTTCCTACTGAAGTGCATAAGAATTAAATAAGGCATTTTGTAAATCAATGTATTCTCGAAGGCTTTCACAGCCGGGATATGATGGTTGTTGTGGGTTTTTCGGGTTCTTTGGCCGTGTTCTGAAGGTTGTTCTTCCTGACGTTTCACCAGTCTCTGTGGGTGGCATCTTCAGAGGACTGGAGTAGGAACTCTGTCCATGCTCTGTACGCCAGCCACAGAGATTGGCGAAACATCAGGAAGAACAATCTTCAGAACACGGCCAAAGAACCTGAAAAACCCACAACAACCATTTTGTAAATGACTTAACAGAATACTCCTATGCAGATTGTCTCAGGATCCACTGAATTAAAACATAATATTCTCTCAAATAATTGTGTGTAGGATTTCACCTCTGTACAGGATAGAGAAGTTGAATTTCCAAATTTAAACTAGAACATTACTCTAAAGAAATGTCTTCCTCTCTAATCTTTAAATAGGTGAGCTGCAACTTTGAACCTCATCTCCGAGGAAACGTATACGTTCAGTACCAATCGTAAGTATTTAAACTAGTTAACATTTTCCAGTTGATAAATTTAATGAGATACGGAAAGTTCAGAGTGAGTGAGCTTAACATTTTATAACATTTTACATCTTCATAGATGCCTTCCCCAATAAACAGCCAATTAGATGATTCATTGTGCTGTCCCATTATGCCTTGTTTCATTTTTATTTGTTTTATAAAATTCTAATACTACATTCTCAAATTTGTTTTAAAAGAGAACAAGAATGTCAGGAGGCTCTTGCTTTATTCAATGGTCGGTGGTATGCTGGACGGCAGCTTCAGTGTGAATTTTGCCCAGTAACAAGGTGGAAAACAGCAATATGTGGTATGTCAGTGAAACCTACTTAAATCTAGTATCTTTAAATAGGTCTGGCATCTTTTCAAACTATTTATAAACTAGTTTAAAAAAAAGAAAATTCATAGCCTTCTTAAAATAAAGTGCCACGGATAGTGCTGATTCATATAGACAAGGTGGGATTTTTCCTTCAGAAAGGATTGGTTTCTTAACTAGCAAACCAATGAGACCACACCTGCAGTCTTTGATCAGGCAATATCACTCTCACTTAAACATGAAACTACAATTGTTGCATCAGGTAAATAAAAGTGGAAATAGTTTCCAGGCTTAAAATAATTTGTACACACCTGCATATTGTTTCTCAAGGAAATAAGCACTCCCCATATGCAAATAACAGGATAAAGCAGGGATATTTTTAAAGAGTAATGTATACAAAAATTATTTTCCCCATGTTTTTCAAGGTGAAAACTGCTTTTTATTGATGTGATGTCTGCATAGTCATTAAAAGTAGGCACGACTAGCCTCTTCACTCATTTGTCATGAAGAATGTTTTGGGGACAAAATAAGCCCAATGTGAACCCAGAGTCTAAAAGCTAAACATAAATAGCATCTGCCTTCAAATGTTGTAACCATTTCAAAAATAATTCTTTCCAGGCTTGTTTGAAAGGCAAAAGTGTCCAAGAGGGAAGCATTGCAACTTTCTTCATGTATTCAGAAATCCAAACAATGAGTTCTGGGAGGCCAACAGAGATATTCACATTTCTCCTGAATGGACTAAAGAAACAAGTAGGAACTCTGAAAGGCGAAGTAGATTAGGTTACTATGAAGAGCATCATTGCAGGTCAAGAAGAAGAAGCAGTCCAAGCCCCGATCATGCTCACAGCAAAAGAAATGGAGAATCTGAGAGGAAAAAGAGTCGTCACAAGCACAAGAAAAGACACCGTACTGAGAGATCAGAAAATCGTGGAAGACAGCGGTCACATAATAAAAGGAAAAGAGGGCGGAGTCACAACAGAAGCTTGACACGTAGTCAGAGTTCTTCTCGGTCAAGGAGTCGAGACAGGAAGTCCAACAGCAGAGGAAAAAATAGTTGAATTTATTATTGGTGAATGACTAAGTTGTTCTTGTTTTTTTAAAGAAAGTGTCAGCCCCACTCATAGTTGTACCAGAGACATTATAGTGTATTGCTGTAATTCAGATACAAAACTGTTGTGCACTGGTCTCTCAATTTTTACAATAAATTATTAAGAAAAAGCAGGGAGTCATCTCTTGGAATCTGCTTAATTACCTTCTGTATCACAGAAATTTGCTGCTTGTCATAAATCTAATGTAAAGGCTGTGCTGCAAGCACTTAAAAATAATTTATTTGAAATTCCATCAGTCTTTTCTTTAGAGCAGCAGTCTCCAAACTTTTTACCCTGAGGGCCACAGTGAATACTTTCAAGATCTTAAGAGGAATGTGTGTGTGCACCAACCCGCACATACATACACATGCACAAACGTCCCCTGCCCCCTGTGTGCTTGTGCACGGTGTTAAGGGAACAGGCCAGATAAAATAGCAAGGCAGGCCAGATGTGGCCTGTGGGCCATAGTTTGGAGACCCTTGCTTTAGAGGATGTAAAACTACGTGGTTTTAGTTTCTAACACCACAGAACAAGAGTGATGTTTACAAATCAATGTATGGTAGTATGCTACCAAGTCCTCCAAGCTGGTGTCTGCCAGTTCTGAACTGCATCTAGAACTTTGGCTGCTTGTGTTCACTATGCATATCAGAAATCCAGATTTGATATGGTGTGTATATCTAAGTTGCATGAATCAACATGTAGAATGTTGTAGGCTGTAATCCTCCCAGCTTCTGTACTGCCATTCTCACTGTCCCGTACCCTTAGCTGTGCTGGTTAAGACTGGCAGGAGTTGAATTTCACTAGTAAGAGGCATTGCACATTACATACTGATGCCCTTGTTGGTATAAACAGAAGATAATTTGCATATACACTTACTGTTCAACTGTAAGACATTTTCATCACAATTGATCATTTACTGTTTTGAGAAGGTGAAGATATGTAATTTTATGTAAGGTTCTATCCTATACTAGTGAGTGGAAGGAAACGTAAACCGAATTTCCCCACTCCTTTCTTGAATCTCTTGACGGAGTGGATTATAGAACTAAGTTCACCAAGCATCAGAAACCAAGAGGCTCAAATTACTTTCTGGACATTCAGTCCACTTGGGAACATTCCCTCGTACCTTTCAGGAACTGCCAGGTGTATTAGCTAGTATTACCAAAAATGTAAAATTCAGCTATCCTTGTAATGGTATATCTGTGTTTTAATAGATGTGCAAGGGATGACATTTTTATTGGCTTTGCCTCAGTTCACTTGGGGGGGGGGTGCTATTCATTCAGTTTCAGGTCTCATGGGTATTATTGGCCCTTGCAATAAACCTTTTAAGTCCCTGACTTTTTCACACTATTTAGAGGTAAGCAGCCATGGCATAGAGATGTGAAGGGGTGGAGCTGTTTGGGCAGCTAGGAGGCAAGCAGTGCTAAGGCAAGAAAACCTTCCAAGGTGGAGTCAATGAAGGAAACTTTCATGAAAGAGGGCTGAAGGATCTGTAGCTTTAATGTCAACCCTTTCATTTAAATAAATTCTCCAGCTTCAAAGGGCTCTTATGGGAATCCATGAAAGAACTTAAAGGGTCTCTTCTGGAACGTTAGTTTTTTTTTCACCTCCATTCCGGTTCATCTGAAAGTCCCATCTCAACGCTTTAAAATGCGTAATAAAGCTCAGAACTACAAATGTAGCTGAAAATTCCCACCCCCCTTGAGATATAGGGTGAAATCCAGTACTAAATTGTAACTAGAATAGACCCACTCAACTTACTGAGTTGAGTCACAAAATCCCCACTGATTCAATGGTTCTATAGTTGTGACTCGATTTCAGTTTCATACAGTACTGTGCCAATAATTTCTCAAAATTAGGAAACAAAAAAAAGTCACATATTAATGTCTGTAGGTCACAGTAGCCAGCTTTTGGTACAGAATATGGATTTCCTTGGGATAGTTTTCTTCTAAACAGAATACTGCTACCCCCAAAACAAGTAAGAGACAGCTTGAATCCAAGTATCTTTAAATACTGATATTATCAAAAAATGTCAAAACTAGAAGTGCCAACTGAAATTTTTAGAAACTTAGTAGAAACACTGTTACCTAAAAACCCATTAGGTAATATCAAATTGGACTGATGAATCAGAAAAACATTCACACAGCTCTTCAGAATTCAACTGATACTTACAAAGAATTACAGTCAACAGGGTACAACAGTATGTCTCATTCTGAAGGAGGAAGTAATAATTTTGAATGCTAAAATGAAATCCAAATTGAAGTAAATAAGTTTTCGTTCTCAGACTATCACTTAGCGGAGAGGTGTTTTTTAAAACATGGGAATTTGACCAATCTTTAAAATGAAGTATTTTGTTTTTATTAGAAAGGCCAATTGCATATTTTCAGGGTATGTTTGTGCAGTTAAAATCCTTTTGCGCATCATGAATACTCCACAAAAACAGGATTAAAACATAGTTGAACAAAGAAATGAGTGCTCCAATGAACTTCCAAATTAAACAGACATAACAATGGAGTAAAAATGGACATTTATTACAACTAAACTGGTGTGATACTTAAGACAGTGTCCACACAGCTTATGTCACAATCACAAAGCTTTTTCAACCAAGCACATACAAGGCAACAGTTTATACCTTAATGTGGTCTGAATGCAAACAAAAATTGGTTTAAACATTGTTTAAGTGTCAAGATAATTCTGTCATTTCAGTGTCGAAGAGCCACTCTGTTGTCTATTGAAATTCATTACTCCAGGTCTCTGTCAATGAAATGTACAACAAAGCTATTCCTGTATATTTTATACAAGCATAATTATTTTCATAATGCATCTGTTGTGGCCAGGATATGGCATAAAGCAACCATCTTTCAAACACGTGGCACTGTTTTATAGTAAAGCATCTGAATACTTCAGAACACATTAGTTAAAGCAATTGGATCTGTAGGAGTAGAACTTCACAATAAGCTTATCTTAAAAGTTGAGAAGTGAAAGTGTGCATGTTTTATAATATATGCAAGGGAGGTCACACTGGTTTAAAGAGCAAGAGCTCTGTTACTGAGGTTCTCTTAGAACATAATACTACGCATACAACAAATAGTAAGTTACAGTAAACTGAATGGCCAAAATCCTATTGGTCCTGCACAGTCCAAGCAGAAAATCCTGCTGATGAGCATTCCTGGACTGCCAAGCAAGCAGTGTGCTCCTCAGTTTCCTCAAGTTAGTGGCGCAGCTTATGCAAGGGATGACAAGCAGAAATCAAAAATTTGTGCAACCCTATGCACATAGGTCTTCCCTAACAGGATTTTGACCGATATGGCTTTGTGATACCTATGCAGCCTGATCCTATGCATGCTTTATTTGTAAGTTACTCCTATTTTGTTCTATGGGAATCATTACCAACCAAAATATACAGTGTTACACAGCCTAAGTGAAATCATGGCAGTGTTTCAAAGGAAATTTCTAGTTTAAGGCTTGATTGTACCAAGTGGAGCAGAGGTGGGCTCCAGTGGCCTTCTAGATGTGTTAGGACTACTACTCCTGTAATCCTTTACCATTGGTCATACTGATTTAGTATCTGGAAGGACCCAGTTTTTCACCCAGGTATAAAGATACAGAGTTATAACTAAACCTAAGCTTGTGTAAGAGAAAATTAAATTTGATGAGTAACCACAGCTGATCCTAGTAGCTGCTCAGGTTATCATTTAAAAGTACACTGTATTATACTGGTAAAAAAGTTAGGTAAAGTTTTACAAGATTCCCTTTTTGTATGTTTCCCTTTGCAATTATGTCACTATCCCAATACTTTTGAACAAACATTGTTTTAGACTTCTGAAAATACCAAGTGTACAATCAAGAAAATATTTAAAGTAGTAAAAAAGTTTTTAAAATGAATTTTTATGTGGCTTGTGTTCCCCTTGTAGGACATTAATCCAGATGTCTGACTGAATTTACAGCCTCAGTAAAATGAAATTCTAGTCATAACCCAGTTGCTAGAAATGAAGCTATCATAACAGGTCACAACAGTTTGATTCTATTGACCTTAATAGGATTCTTTGGTATAAATAAAACAGCTGCAAATAATTATTTTCCCACAAATCTTAAGCAGTAACTTAAAGTGAGATTTACCAAATGCTGACTCCAGTATAATAAAAGTCTTTGGTTACACAAAGCCAAGTTCTATGTTAACACATATCACTTTGTTACAATGTGTAACTTTTTCTGAATAATTCATAACCTCTAGCATTTGATACATTATGTGATGGCAAAAAAATTAACAAAATATTACTGAAAGTCATGAGTCACTTTAAGTTAATGTGGCCAAAATCACCGCAAAATCCCTTTTAGTTTTTTTCCTGGAAAGTTAAAAATTCTGTTCCCTTTTTCAATTTTATAATAAATGGATTTTTTTCTTGTAGGTCTGAATGAAGTAGCTTAGCAGAACAGTAATACTGACAAATAGCATCAAAACACCATCAGCTAACATTAAATGGAGGCAGTGAACATTTACAGTTATGAGAAACACCACGCAAGACATCAGGAAAGGAGTAGGTTTATGTCAGTCCAATTTCTTCAAGTACACTACGAGGGGTCTCTGCTTCCTGTGGAAGGAAAATTAGAGAGTGAACAGATCTTGTGCTCCTGCAGAACCATACATGGTGTATTAATAGGCACATAATTAAATTTAGGTCAAGTTCTGAACACGCTCTGAGTTCTAAGCATTTTATAAATATATCCAAGCTGTCCTTTATTCTCTCCAACTCCCTCCTTTATGGATCAACTGGACAGCCAGAACATTATTTCTATTGTGTCAATAACATTTCAGTAACCTAATCATTAAAGTTCTCCAACTGAACTACATTCAGTATCACACAACATTGCCAAAGTTTTTCAGAAGTTGTTATGCACCCTGAAGTTGGGACTGACTTTTCAAGGTAGGTGAGACATTTATGGAATGCTTTTACCAGTTCCACATCCCCAGTAGAATGAGTGGGGAATTAAATCCAGGCCTCCTGAGTCCTAATCCATCGCTTTGTCCACTACACCGACGTAGCAAATGTAAATTTCAATTCCCATGCATTAAAATTGAACCTCGTGTGGAACTTTTAATACTCCAGAAGGTATGCGGAGAATATCTGATAGCAATCGTAGTGTTAGCCAAAGGTTACATTCTCCTAGCAATCCCATAATCCATTAAAAAGGTAACTTTGGAGTAAAACACACAAATCTTTTTGTATTTAACAGAATAAACACTTACTTTAGCATCCTAAAAAAAGGCACAGGCAAAAAGAGAGAGAGAGTGTGTCTGAGTTTAGCAACAATATATCATAAAAAGTGGGGTTAAAATTTGCACAAACATACATTTTGAAATCTTGGGAGTATTTTTTTTAAAAAAACGAACAGAAGCTGGTTACAAAATTTTAGAAATAACATTAAAATTTTGCCTTTAGAATAACGATAATTAGATAAATGGCAAAGCACATATAATTTGCAGTCTCTTCACTTGAGGCAAGATACTGCTGATACCGTGTTTCCCCCAAATAAGACAGGGTCTTATATTAATTTTTGCTTTAAAAAACGCATTAGGGCTTATTTTCAGGGGATGTTTTATTTTACAATCATGTCATCTTCTTCTGGTTGCTCCACAATGGTGGAGGGTGGGGTTTCCCTTAACTAGGGTTTATTTTTGGGGTAGGGCTTATGAGCATCCTGAAAAACCATACTAGGGCTTATTTTCAGATTAGATCTTATTTTCGGGAAAACAGGGTATTACATTTTTAGTTACCTTATAAACAAGAAAGCTGAATTTATCCTATGTCCACATATCACAAAAATTCTTCTAAAACACCCTGTGAAAGAAAGAGAAATAGGCCACCCCAAAAATCATACTACCATAAGTTTAGGGTGCTCCTTGAGCCTCGGGAACAGCAGAAGTAATAAAACATTTATTACATCCCAGTTCTGTTCTTGTTGACTGAAAGACTTAGGCTGATGGGGGATACTAAAGAAAAGTGTGCAAGTTAGCACTGCATCTGGTTCTCTGCCTACTCTGGCTAGCTGGTATATGTAAAACCCATTCAAAAAGCAAATTTCTTCCCACAAGAACTGCCTTGGTTTCTTCTATGTCAGTAGATCTCCTTGCAAGGACTTCTATGTTCTTCAGCATAACTGAACAAGTCCTAAAGGAACTAACCACTGTAGATGTATCATAGCTCTGTAATAAGCAAGTGCACATTATTAATTTTGTCTATTTCCAAAAGTAACAGGCAACATTTTCAAACTTGATTTGTATTCTATACTTTAACATGGTATTAAGAGCAAATAATGGAGACACAGCCTCCACTAGTCAGCATCAGATGGGATCTGAACAATATTTAGTTGTAAAATAGCTGTGAGGAACACATGAACAAGAAGAAAGCAGCTGTTTGGATTAATTAAGAAATGTTTGGAAATTAAATAATTTGAACTTATTCGAATCATTTAGGAAATGTGTTGTTTTAATCATTTGGCAAATGTGTTTCAAAACTGTATCTGGAGAGTTACCAAAGGCAAAGGGCACAAATAGGAAATACATCACAATAAAAGCAATGGGGGATTTTAAAAAAAAGCCATTCACATTGAGAGTGCATGCAATACTTTATTACAGACATGCCAGAAATGCTAATTCACAACAATTTACAAGCACGCAGCCATATAAAGTGATAACAGACCACAGCATCTCATTAGCACTCCATGCATAGCACTTTAAAGATTCAAGCATTAAGAGAATGCATTGCAGCATTACCACATACATTCACAGAAGCTATAAGAAAATATAATGCAAAGGTTTCCTACAATTTGCTAATAATATATTCTAGAATGATGCAGCTTCAATATGTTAAATCCTTCACTTCTGAAATAATGCAATACTTATCTTGAAGCAGTTTGCTGTCACATAACTGGAAGGTGTTATCGGAAATGGCTGATCTAGTTAAATGTATCAACTAATATATACTAACAAATGCAAGCAGATATTATATCTTCCCCTAATGCACTCATGTGCGTTCTTATTTCAGAACACAAAACAATACGTACATATGTTTCTGCAGATGCTTCTGTAGAATTACCACCAAGCATGGCTTTTGTATTTATTGCAGTGTTTGGGTCAGCTCCATTAGTGCACCAAAGATGGACACAGAAAGTTAACTCCAACACTGCAACAAATGGGAAAACCTTTTAAAATACAAAAAGGGGGTGCCGTGTACATTTATCATCGGTAAATGTTGAGACTGTAGTGCTTAAAAATTAAACTAATATAGAGGGGCCAAATTGCAAAATGCAAGACATTATTTTCTGAAATATGGATATATTTTTTTCTTAGAACTTCTTTATTATAACCCTAAGCAACAGAGCTTGTCATGTGGCCTGTCTGTAACGATTACTTTCTAACTACTTGGTTTCCCAATAGTAAGTCACATATCAATGGATTCATATCTACTGGATCTACAAAAATCAGATTTATATTATATATGATGGAGTACTGTGCAGTAAGTATGTGAATTGTAAAATTAGGCTTAGCAAAGTATTTCAGTTGAATATTACATGGTATATCAAAGGCTAATGATAGATTTAAATGTTTTAACATGGAAATTATGGCATGCTGAGAAGACATATGAAGGGAAAAACACAGACATTGTAAATGATAAAACAAGGAAATACAAAAACGGCAAAAATGTAGTGATTTATACTAATTTGTTCAAGATGTTTTGATTCACCAAGCTGAGGATAAGTGTTCTGCCATGAGTAAGTCAGCTTTATCGCCTTGCTTATGCATGATGAATGAAGTCATTTAGTATACTGGTACATTAAAGTATTCATGACGTGGCTACAAAAGAAACGTGTACATTCTTTATAAATAGTTCAGAGGTTGGCATGCATATAATACATAAAAATGTTTTTTCTTTGCTACAGCTAGGAATGCTATTTACACTACTCCTATTAGTGATATTGTTTTTCTATTCTATTCTTCTGAATAACATGCACTACATGTGCTATTCATGAAAAAGCGTATCATCCTTAGTCCAGAATTTAGCCAGCAACATGCAGCTACAAGTCACAGAGGGTTTTTTAAAAATACTGACACAATTTCTTCTTTGACCGCTTTAAAATCATGGCAGCAGTGAATAAATTTGCACTACACACAGCTATTAGTTATCTTTTGTCTGCACGGGGGTAATTTAATTAGAGAAGAAATAAAATAGTCTATATACTACTGAATGAACTCAATAACAAATTAAAAGGTATAATGATTTATTGGTATTTTCCCTTAGTTTTGAAGAGTAAAACTGACTCATTTTTATTTCACCAGATCTAGCTGGATAACTACTGATCTATTTCTCTGTTAGGCAATATAGAAAGCTGAATTAATTAAATTCTTGCACACCCGTTTTGGCATTTTGGTTGGTCCAAATTGTGCATTTTGAATTCCCTCACTTTCCTTCCTTAATCATAACCTTACTGATACCTTCAAAGGCCCAGGTCCCAAGATCACGTTCCTTTTGATCCATTTAAATCCACCTTTATTAACATTCCATTCCAGCTAACTTTTAATCCAACTCCACAGAGATGGAGATTTGAGGATTTTCTGCCAATCAAGGTTAAGTAAATAGTATGTTAAATTCAGTCATGTTTTTCCTAAGAGAATCCTCAGAATCACCAGTCTATTCATATGACAAGTTCGAAAAACAGCTGTATGGAGTCTACTCTACAGATACTTTGGATGATTGTTATATATTGGAATGCGGTCTGTGGATTTTCCTACAGAAGTGTGTGTATTACAGATCAGTAAGATACTCTTGTATAGTTTATGTTTCAAGAAAAATGAAGACATTATTAATTTAAGAATTTTTGAACTCCCCAAAATGCTATGCATACATAAACTTAAGCACAGAGGGACAAGACAGTCACCAGAAAAAAATTGCTGCTTTGAAATTGACCATTTTTCCAGTACTGTATTCATTCATCATGTTACTAAAGCAAAAAGAAAAAGAAAAATGTGCTGCTTATATACCGCCCCATAGAGTTTCAAGCAACCTCTAGGCCATTTACAAGTTTCTTATGTAGGCTACATATTACTAATTCATTTTATGAAAATGTATTATAAACATGCGAAGGGAAATCCATATGCATAGTAAGTATTTAGAGCAAAAAAGATTTCCACCTTATATATTTTCTGTACTCATCTTCACATCTAGTAATTGGATTAAATCTTTAAAATTCACAATATAATCCAAGGAGGCCAAGAACAGAGACACATGCCAGAATCTTTTCAGTTTTTCTCTAGTAATTCACATAATCACTGAGAGTAATTAAAGGGAAGAAAGAGGAAAGGACCTGCAGTATGACCCAGTCAACATCACCACTAGTTTTAGATAACCAGTGTGCTGCCTCAGTATTCCACATTACAGACAGAGGACAGGACAGTAGTTATGTGCTATCTGAGCAAATAACTACCATGAATGAAACTGTTGGCACTACGAAACATGGCAAAGGCAAGATAACCAGCTGGAAAATGTCACTATGTGTTAAGTTCATGAACCATATTTGTTTCCACATGAGTGCTAAATATCTTTTTTCTTTTTGGAAATGGCAAAATGATAGCCACATAAAATTAATAATCTAAAATAGATCTGTCAAGACAAGTTTTAAATTTCAGAATATGCATTAAAGTTTTACTGCATTAGTGTACATCCCAATTAATTCTTCAATTTCCCTCTCTGAGGCACATAGCCCTTTTCCTACTTTAGCGCTTGCTTAATCTTTTAGACTTAGATTTGTTAATTTTTAAGCTTTAATCATATACACGGGATTTACATATAATGAATCAGAATGATTTATGTTTTATAGTTCCTCTCCCTACCCCATTCTATAAAGCTGACAGGCAGATGCTTAGAGACAATCATGAATTAACAAACTCTAACAAGATTTATCAATAAACAAGCTTCAACCCATCTCTTTTTTAATGCAAAATAAAAAAGACAGCTACAAAATTACACAAAGATTAGTGTGTATAGCTGACAAAAATTTCCTGTGCACTTCTCCCCTTGCACGGGTCCAGGCAGTGTGGGTTTTGGTTATACACGGATTTTTCTAATAAATAAATCAATCAATAAATATTACAATAAATAAATAAATACATATTGAATGAATAAATATTCAGTAAATACTGTGCTGCTATTCATCTCCAGGAAATGGCCTCGGACAGTTGGCAATGTGTTGGCCCCCTCT